CATACTAAATTAAGGTTCTCTATAAAAGAATAGATTTGATTACCCCTTCTATCATTTTTTCTACAACCCCAAGAAGTATGAAGAGCATTAAAGTCGCCTACAATTAAGAAGTGTTTAGATGTAATTTTCATATAAGCATCTAATAAATTATTGACAACAAAGTTTCCATTGGGAGGAGGGGGACAGTAGATACATAAAATGTCTATGGAGAGTGAACCAAGATTAACAGATATTAAGAGATTTTGAAAGTCATATGAAGAGTTTGTGTCAATAATTTTGTAATTATATTTGTTGAGAATAGCTACAGCTACTCCACCATGAGGACGATCAGAGTCTCTTCTAATAATATTGTAACCAGACAATTTACAGATTTTGTTAGAATCAAGCCAAGTTTCATTTAGTAAAATGATATCAAAATTTGATGTAAAGTTGTAAATAAAGTTTTTAAATTGAAATATTTTAGACAGAAAGCTTCTTGAGTTCCAATGAACAATATTAATTTCCTTTAAAGATGTAATGGTCATGTTGAAAAATTAGATATGAGTATTTCCTTAATTAATTTGGATGAAATTGTATCAGAATTAGTTTGAGCTTTCTTAACTAGCTCAAAAACAGTCTTAGTAATTGTGTTGAGTACAATGTCTGAGTTAATGATGTCAGTAACTAATGCCCTTTTTTGAGGAGATTTATTTTGCATTGGGCTGTTAATAGACACAGGGGTATTTGAATTAATTACAGAGTTAACCGATTTTGAAGTCACTGATGCATAAGATGTTTTGCCTAGAATTTTATCTTTGATTTGAGACAATTTCATCGATTTAGTGGGACAGCTATTAGATACTGCTACATGTTGTCCATTACAATTAACACATTTAGGGTTCTCTTTGTTGATACAGGATCTATAATCATGGGCACCAGCACATATGGAACAAACTTGCTTACTTCTGCAGGAACTGCTTCCGTGACCAAATTTGTAACAAGTGAAGCATTGGAGTAGAGGTCTAATGAATTCACGCACATCCAGCCAAATATGGTCATACGTTACGTGATCAGGTCGCTGCGTAGAGAGGAAAGTTACTAAAACTGTAGGAAGAGGATGAAAACTTCCATCTTCTTTCTTTTTTTTGAAACGTTTAACACCGATGATGTCTACAGTAGATTTTAGGTTATTTAAGAGATCTTCCTCAGATATTTCAGTAGGAGCTCTTATAACTCCCTGAGATTCCAGCTGATTATTGGGTATCCTAGCTTGAAGTTTATGTTTTTCTAATAAATCTTTATTTAATAAAAATTCATTAGCCTGTTTCATTGATCAAAAACATATTTTGAATGCAGTAGGACCCATAGTACGAATATAGAATACACCAGGTACAGTCCTCAGAATAGAATTGACTTGCAATAAGTTTACATTGTTGCCCTCAATAGGAGACAACAGAATAAAATATTCATTTTTAGTAGTGTCAGAATATAGGTAATTTTGATCTTTAAACAGTCCTCTTTTTGAGTGAGTAAATTTAATACTCATCTTAGCATCTGGCTCTTCATCAGATATGGAAGTATTTTTTTTTCTTTTTAACTTGCCTCCGCTTGACTCGCACATATCCTCTAACAACACACGAGGGCTTAAATTGGAGAAATAAGTAAAAGAAACTAGGAGAAGCAACAAATAAATATTAAACAAATAAAATAAATTTAAAATTTCCGCCCTCGCGTTACAAGTTTTCCCGCCAAAAAAAAAATTACCATAGACAGGAAAAATAAAAACTTTTTTTATTTTGTGATCGTACATCACTAGGGATAAGTTACCAATAAAAAAAATTTTCATTTTTAGTAATTTCTGTTATATGGGAACAGTTAATGCATTCAGAACATATATTTATTCTGTTTAATATTAATTTTTGTCTGTTTATTTACATTGATTTCAAACAAAAGATGCGTCGCGGCGTTATTGCGAAGTTGCTTGTGTTAGACAATAATCATTGATTGACGCATTTAGCGGCCATAGAAGATTAAGATTCTATATACCTTGTCACATCAGTTTGGCATTAGTAGGAATTAGTAGGAAGTCCGAACTCGAACGAACGACGACATTTTTATTTATTCCTCCAAGTTTGGAATTTTTCCACATTGTTTTCCTACAATCACATCCCAAAATAGGTAATATATATACGTCATTTTCACGATCTAATTAGAGTATATTTCATAAAACGTAATTGTACTACTGTATTGAAAATCTCTAGGGCGGTGTATTAGACGTAGTTCTATACAAAGATGCGCGTAATTTTTTATTGAGAATCACGACTTGAAAGACAACTTTGGCCTTGTGTACTCATTTGTAGTAACAGTAAATGCATATGTGCTAAGGTCCGTTAGAACACGAACGCGGGAGGTGGTCGCTTGTGGTGTTATTTTTAAACCTTGTGTTTGTAGTCAGGTATGAATTCAGTTTCATATTTATAGATATTAATTTATATTTAGCTCGTATTCATTGTTTCATTGAACCCTATCAATCACGAATTTGTTTTCAAATTCATGATATTCTTTGATAACCTCCAAAATGTGTCATTCTCTACTTGAAAGTTCTAAAATACCTACTTATTAAAATATAATCTCTAGGGTACAATACTGAGTAATACAAAAAACATACATTGCAAATTGTTTCAGTATATCAGTTTTTATGTAGTATAATTCCTTTTTATCTCTTAATTTCTTGAAACTTTTTAAATTTTCTATGTAATTTTTTTAATCAGTTAAATCATACAATCTACATATATCATACATCATACATCCTGTACATATTATTAATTTCTTTCCTCTTATAGGGAGAAATCAGATTTTTCTTATCATAACAATATTAATGAGTTATTTTTATAAGGTTACATTTTAGATAGTGAATGTGAATGTGAAAAAGACTATTTTCCGCGTTTAGCCTCTCTATTTTAGATAGTTATATTTGTTGTGTCCTAGATTGATAACATCAACTATTAAGCAAATATTTACTCAAGTAAATGTACTTATTCTAAAATGCTTCGTTCATTTTCATTAGACACATGTGTCTGTGCTCACTCTTTAGATAAAATATTTTTGGAAGCCAATGGAAGGAATTTACCATAAATATATACTATCCTCATTAAAAATAAGTATATAGTTATTGATAGTTACATGTGAAGACACTTGTACTACTTGTACAGGTTTTTTTGTTTAGCTATAAAAAACAAATCACTTAAATTTAATGACAAGTAATTATTTATATTAATTGATAAAGGTTAATGACTTAAATTTTGTACTACATACATGTGCAGTGATACTTCCTATTACTTTATTAGTTAACTAAAGCATCTATAAAAAATTTCATTGTCTTAATTTTTTCAAATCTGTAATCTGTTTTTGTTTTTAAACAATTATATTATTTTATTACTAACATCATACTTGGCTTTGCTTAGGTAGATATTAATAATTAATAATAGATATTTTTTAAAATAATACATAGTCTATGGTGCTTACTTTTAATATATATGAGAAAGAAATCTTAAAATTGTTCAAGTAGTTTCCAATTTATTCATTACAAACAAACAATTGAATATTTCCTCTTTATTATATTGATATAGTTAAAAATGTTAATAAGGACCTGTTTGAATTAAATGATAAATTTGAGTTAGGCTTATTATAAATTTAGTTCCTCCTAGTCTATAATATGAGAATTTCTGTGAATTACCTATTTAAAATTTTATTTACATAGATAACTTTTGTATCAAACCCATTTTACTACACTAGATTGACGGACCTACAAGCAGTGAATGTAACAAATATACAAAAGCTAGATTTAATTTCACAACATCATGGTAAAACTAGTTATTTCGATTTGAAAACCAAACCACTACCTAATTTTTTATGTAATTTCTCTGATTTACCAATTTGAAAGCATTTTGTTTTTGATCTATTAAAAAAAAGTTTCCAAATATCTTTATAAATGGTGGAGTGAGATAACAAACTTAAAAAGAAATACAACCAAATCGAAAATTTACTTATTTTTTTGAAGTCAGTGAAAAATACATAGAATATATATATATATATATATATATATATATATATATATATATATATAACAAGATTTGTTTCCAATACTCATTGTTGGCACTTAATTGCCTATCTGTCTTATTATTGACCTGAGCTAAAGATATATAATAAGGTTTTCTGATAGGTTGTTTGAATTATCTGGCAGCTAATAAATATTGATGATAATGATATAATAGGTGGCTTCACCTTTGGTCCTTTATTTGATACTGTGTATTGTGCATACTCTGTATGATTTAATAAGTTAATTCTTAGTAATTTAATGTGAATTTATTAATATTTTATTATATATTAATACTTAACTGGTATGTATAATTATAAGAAAAAAAAAGAATTGTGTATCTAAGATACTGGTAATTTAAAAGTGAAAAAAAAAAGATGAATAAAAAAAGTAGGAAGGAAGATCAGATAGGAAGTATAAAGTGGTGGGGCCGATTTTGAGGCACCATTTTTTTAAACCAATCTCTCTCTAAAACAATCAATATCAAATTCGAATTTTAATTAAAAAAAAATAGGTTTAGAGAAATGGCACCTCATAATCGACCCCATAACTGAATGATGTATTTTTTTTTTAATTTGTTTAGTGGTAAAAAAGCAAATTTGTGTTTAAATTTTATAATTATATATAGAATTTTTATAGGAAATTTTAAAGTCATATGTAAAATATTATGATGTGGTTTTGAATTTGTTTTATACAACTATATAATAAATATAAATAAATATATTATAGATGGATAGGATAGAGGATATATTATAGAACAGCAAACAAGCTGATAGTCCACCTATTGGAAAGTGTTAACCATCATTTATAGACAAAGCATATTCATGACATATTCACTACTTTGTTTCTTCTTGCACAAGAAAGTGGGTATTAGAATTCAGAGCAATTAGCAAGTAATAGGTATATTTTGATGTGTTGTCCACAGGATATTCTAGACAGAATGACAAGTACTAGAAGGTTCCCGTGGCTATGGGCCAGCTTCTTCCTGCTCCTGAGCATCGCTGGGCTGGTGGCTTATGATGTTTACACAGTCAAGGGCAACTTCCCAAGTGAGTATTATTATTGATGACCAATGGCCGTGTGTGGTCCCAGCTTAGAATAGGCCACCCTTTCCTATCCCGTGGGTGTCATAAGAGCCTACTAAGGGAGGGCAAGGGATGGGCAGCAGCATACCTCTTAAAATATCTTTAAAGCCGAACTGCACATGCCTATTCGCCTGCCAAGCGTGGCTACTACTGACCAAACCTCCAAGAGGGAAGCTTATGCTTAGCAGTAGATAGTTAAAGGCTGTCATGCTGTTGATGATGATGAACAGCAGTTTAACACACCACTCGTTTACCGGCGTCTGTTTCCAGATTACTTTAACATAGAGTCTTTCAAACCTAGAGTGAAAAGGTATTATTTGAATTTGCGTGTAAAACTTGATCGCCACTTAAAATCAGATGAGATTGTAGTCAAATGCGTTCAAATTTAATATTAAAATAAATACACCTTATCTACCACTTCTTGCGGCTTCGATTCCTGCACAATACATATATTTGTACCCACAACTATGTCAGTATGTATTGGTTTGCATGTGTTCTATGTATAACATTATGTATTTCTATAAAAAGTCAGTACATGTAGTACAAATTCTTGCACAAGAAATACTTAATTTAAGATTAGATAGTGTTTTGTAATATATCCAAGGGTATTTATTTATTTAATAATGTCGTGTTGTTACCATACATAGACAGAGGTCTGCCGTGTTTTTATGAATATTGGTACTGAAATAGAGATGTTTTGCATTCGATGGAATTTATATTTCATATGTAGTTATAAGTGAGAAAGAAGAATTACGAAAGATTTATCAAGCAAGAAGGGAGATATCGGTATGGATCGCCCTAGACGGACATATGTCGAGTAAATAGGCGACATGCTGAAGAAGGGCTGAATTAAAAGTATACAGTATACAGAGGGAGACTTTATACAAAAGTTGATTGCTTGGGTACCTCTGTCCCATTCGTGTTTCAACCGTGAAGCAGTTGTGTTTGCATGGCAGTGTTTCGGTTTGGGTGGGATATGGCGTGAATTTACTAGGTACAGAGGAGTAACACCGGAGTCCTCAGGAATGGTAACGCATGGGGGTATCATGAGCGAAACAGTATACTCTGTTATGTCTATGGTACTGCTCATGTCTATAGGTGACGGTTACCACTTTCCATCAGGTGGGCCGTCAGCCTGTTTGCCATTCTAAGTTGTATAAAAAAAAATACGTAACTGGCGAGCGTGTATGAAAAATTGATAGATGTGGAGGAAGCGAAAGAGGTTTGTTTGAATCGAACCATTTGGCGTTCTATTGTTTCTGCCTATCCTAAAGGGAGACAAGCGTGTTATATAGGTATGTATGTATAAGTGAGGACACTTATGCTATTTCTGTAAGTTTTTATTTAATTAAATATACTTTGTAACCTTGTTTGGACAGATAACGGACATAGTACTGTTTGCTGATGACACTTATTTATTATTCATACCTAACCGGTTTTATAAATAGCCCATAAAAATTTTAACGAAAGTTTTGCTGTGTGAGAACTGTGTATCAGTGAAGCGAGAAAAAGTAGGATGCAATAGTCTATGTACTTTTTCTTTACTACTAATTATAGCATTATGATTATTTATTTATTGATCTTCAACGCTTCGTGTAAAAGGCGGACTTAACACTATGTAATTGAAAATATAATTGACGGATGCACCATAATAAGTAAATAAATAGAAATACATAGGGGGAAAGGGATTATTAGTAATGTAGACTGAGGATCCCATTGCTAGCAATATACTCAACCAGGTCGACCTCCTCGCAGTTCCCCCTGGAAACTATTATGGTTAATTCCTGATTAATTCATCATGATGGGCTAACTGGCCTGTTTTCATTTTCATCTATCACCCTTCACTGGTGCTCCGTCAGCGTATCCCGTTAGTGCAGGCGGGGTTACCATGCCATTTTCACCCATCAAAAAAAAAATAGAAATACATATATACTATTATAAACATAAAAGTGAGTGTTTGTTTGTTGTATTATAACGCCTTTACGGCTTAATCAATTTCTATGAAATTTAGTAGCAGTATTATGCGATGGATAAGGCTATAGGCTATTATCCCAGTCGGTAAACATATCCATGTTACGCGAAACAAAATTACGGGTAAAAGCTAGTAATTCTATATTTTTTGTCTTAAATTTATGGGCTTTCCCCATAAACTGTCATAAGGAACGAGGCCATTCCTTATAACAGTTTACAATTGGCGGGATTGGCAACCGCAGCTTTTGATGATGTTTAAAAATACTTTATATGTTGTAAATGCTGCTAATTATTAATTGTATGTATTATTATATATATTCTTTATTGCACTTGTAACTTTAAGTTGTGAGCAAGGGTGGACTTATCTCTGACAGAGATCTCTTCCAGTCAACCCAATGCAATGAGAAAGCATTTCGTTAGCGGGCAGCTGAAGTGCTACAACTATTAATACATAAACAAATTATACAGTTAAATAAAATATTAAAATAGATAATAAAATATTACATAAATACATACACTATAAATACATATAATACCTACCTACTTATATAATAAATGTTAAAATAAATGAATATACTATTTACATTAGAAATTTAATGATTTTAAGATTTGTTCAATTAGATATAATAAATATATCCACGATAGTTGAAATGAATTATTATAATAGTTCTAATAAGGAAATTCTATGTGAATGTGCAAAAATATATCTTATAGTTATTATCCATAGCACATCTTTCATTATTACGAAAATTTAAAGCTTAACGTAAAAATGGCAATAAATCAATGATAAAAATGTCTAATGAAATTAAAATTAATCGAGTGGCTTGCTTGTGATTATATCTATGGTTACAAAGGTGTAAGAATTAATGTTATCAGTTATTACATTTACATATTACGAGTACTAACTAGTCTTTACTCCCGACTTCGTCCATGTCACCCAAAGATATTGGGTGATGGATTTTTCTTTCTCCTTTCCAAGTACTGCGTGTATACCAAATTTCATGACAATTGGTTGAAACTAGCGTCAAGAGGTAATAGGCTCACTTTCTTATTTATTTATTTATTTAGTAAGTTTATGCAGGTGGCTCAGCGCCGTTCTTTATGGCAGTTTATGGGGGAGGCCTATATTTAGCAGCAGGTGGAAAATGGCTAAGATGATGATGATTATAGTTTATAAAAATGTTTGTTTCTAGCCACGCTAATTGTCATTTACACTCTAAATGAATAGTTCAATTGACTTACAAAAGTATTTCAGAAGAGCAAGTAAAATTTTTATAGGTTTTTGAATAGAGAAAAAAAAATTGTATCTGTTAAAAAAACTCAATGTTATTTCTGTAAACAAGTCTATGTAAATAAAGATGATAAGAACGTTCATTGCACTTGATAGCTGGAAACAATCAGCGAGGTCGAAAGGGCTCGGCTCTATAATTTTATGATGTATGAAATATTACCTAATTGGTACCTCTGATATGATATGTGTAACATTCGACTTGCTCGCTTCGACACATACAAAACACTAAGTATATACCATGACGACCTCCATGGCACAATGTAGAGAACGTTGCTTTGCGTAAATGAGGTCACGATTTTGATTCTCGGTCGTGTCAATTTAGGAAGTACTTCTAAATTGACTTTGTCTTCGATGTTCTTAATTGTTCCTCAGTATTATTGACTTACAAGGCTTTTTTTCCGGATCTGTCTGTAAACATGCATACTAGTTCAATGTATTTAATTGTTTAATGTACATGAAGATATAATATTGAAAAATAATCGAAAATTCCTTTCACAACCTCGTTTATTGGATACTTGTATTGAGAAATAAGTATTAATTGACAAACTTGCCTTCACTATTGTTTTTTTCATAGGAATCGGTTATTTTGCCACATTAAAATATACTTGACCAGATTTATTGAATTAATAAGTTCTCACCACACCTAATTTCGTCAAAATACGTCTGTTAGTTTTTGATTGAATCGTGCATACATACAATCTTTCATTATGTATATAAATATTGATAATTTAATTTATTTTTCACAGAGAGTGCGACTGGAAAGCTCATGAACGACCTTGGTATCTTGGAGCAGAGTCAGCGAGCATGGCAGAAAACCCTATCCACTTCAGCAAGAGGATACCTTTGGCTGGAAACGAACGCGCCCATATATTACAGTCAAACAGTCGAAGTCTGTAAACCATACGTCCAAGTTTCCAAGGATGTGTTTGTGATTGCTTATAAAAAAACTGGTGTTCTCTATGGTAATGTTAAAGAGTATGTAATAGAGAAAACTCCAGTAGTTGTGGGCACCATAGAGCAGTATGCACCAGGTCTGGTGGACAACGTGCAGAGTTATGCATCCAGTGGATATGAGGCGGTGAAGAAATACTCCAATGACTATTACCAGTTGACAGCCGAGTACTTGAAGACTAAAGTTTTTGTGTGAGTATCTAATGAAATCTATCCATTTTTTTTCTATAGTGTAAATAAATCTGTTGTATTATTGTTAATTTTAAACTATAACTATTAATTTCAATTTATGACTGTCATTTGGAAATATTTTTTCTATTTTTTAATAGAAACTTTGGTCTCTACATTGTTTTTTGCAATACCCACTGTGATTTGTTCCCCTTATTTATAAATTTCAAATTTATTTGTTACATTAATATTTTAGACTTTTTTTTTTAGTGTTAATGTAGATAGAAATTACCGAGTGTTTTTTTAATAGATTGGATTTACTGCCATGTTCTTTACCAATTTTGTTACAAAAATTTTAAATTTATAATTTATTTCTTTTCAGTGGTGAATGGGCTCCAGAAATACTCCAGAATAAAACGCAGACGGTGCTCAATGTGACGAGGACACAGGTGTCAACGTACTTCCATTGGTTTAGGGAGCAAGTTCACATATATTCGAAGATACCTTGAAGTGTTATCTGTATTATTCTGTTTTATTATGTGTGCCGATGGAGGAACTTTGAAGTTTATTCATATAATCTAATTCACCATTTTGAGCAAACCTGTCCATACAACTTTTGTATATTTAGTCATTTCATACCTTTTTTTCGTGTTATCACTAAAACTATTTAATTCTGCCATAACGACACTAATCTTACATGCTAAAATAGTTGAAAATGGTGAATTGCGATATTGTTTTAATCTTAAAAATGTATAATAAAGATCTAGTTTGAAGTTGAAAATTAATTGAAGTAAATCGGGGCAAAATATTAGGCCTAAAATTTCAAAATTATCATAATCATGGTCACATTTTTATAATTAATGTTATTTTAACGATACGTAATACACGATATCATGAAACAAGTGGCTATAGACAAATATTAATGTATCTATTGGGCAATCACTAACATTTTATTTACATTATTTTTGCAATTTGAATTAATAAATGAGCTGGCGATGCACCTGATGGGAAGAGCTAACTATTGCCTTTAGACACGAATGATGCTTTAACATCACATCTTTCATGTCAGAGATTATAACATAGACGAGTGCGCAAAAATAGCCTAGCATTAGGCGTTACGTTATAATAGTAAAAAGCATAGTATTTTAATAAAAATGAGATTAGATGATATATTTTCTGTGTATAGGAGCGTACACATGAAATATATATTCCTGTGCATACAAAAGTATACACAGACAATGTATATTTCTGTGTGTATAAAGAGGATAATTTTACATTTTTATGGTCGAAGTGGTTAGTAATTGTAGAATAGAATCCATTTCATCATATCTAGCCTCTCGGGACGGATCTCATGTTGTTATGTTTTATAAGCCTACAAATGTATCTTTATTGTGGTTAATCATTATGATCCATCATTCATGCACAAATTATTTATTACTTTAATCCTCCATCAACACATGGCCCAAGATCAATTCATCAATTTAAATATTTTTATTATTTACAAAAAATAAATAAATAAATGAATAAATCGAGTACAATAAATATTATAACGAATTTTTATCAGACGCAATAATTTCGATCATATCATTGTGTGAATCAAATTATATTTTTACATAACGCCATGACAATGTGTAAATTTTAAGTATTACTCTTATATTGGTAAAGAAATAGCACCTATGTATTTGATTAAATTGACATTCCTGTTTATGCATTTATGTGGAATATTTTTTATGCCAAGTTACCTTTCATCGTCGCCCAAATATAAAATTTCATTTAACATTGTTCTTTATATATAGGCATAGTTGTAAGTTTTTGTAGTATATTTATTTTGTGTTGATGAAAGATCGTGTGTTAATACAAAATTAAATCTGGTACGAGGACTGAATTTTATTTATTGATTTTTTATATTCTGAAACTCCCCTAATTCTTATCGTGTTATTTATGTGAATTACACAAATAAATACGCAGTGGTAATAGTGGGTTATTCTTTTTTCACAGTCATATAACTCGATAAATAAGCTATCTCTTTATTTATTTACTTTTTATTGCACCACTAAAAGAGTATTCTTAATATTAGAAAAGGCGGTCTTATTGCTTCGTCGTTTTCTTCCAGACAACCTTTGGGTAGAGTAGAAAAGTGAAACACGATAGCTATTTGGCGCAAGATAAACTTTAATGAAAGAAAGATTGACTACTTAGCTGCATTTTGATCTAAAGTACATTTAAATATATTTGATGATTTTGGAATATGTACATTTAAAAAAGTGGGTATTGATCTACTGTCCTTGGAAGAGTACATAGTCAACTGTGAGGACACTGGATCTAGACGGTATTTCAATATAAAAAGCCAAGTTTTCAAAGATGTTTTTTATGTCTTCTATGTTATCGAGCGTGTTTATCTATTTTCCATTGTGTAAAATATAAATATAAACCTCTCAGTAGGTTCAGAGTTGAAAGATTTATTGTACCTACTTTGAAAACTATAGACTGAAACCCCATACCATTTTTATTTTTTGTCACAACAAGAGAAACTCACTGTGATGTCTATACCCAATTTACTGTTCAATGAGAATAATAACTATTTATTACACAGAAAAAATTACTTAAGAGATAAATCTGATAACTATGGAAGAAGAAAACAACAAAACTTATGATTTTTTACTTTTATAAAAAATAAGTCGGTCAGGATGGTACTTTAGTTTGTGGCGGGTTTTATAATAAAAAGTATCAATAAAAAAATTGTTTAATAAATTAGATTTATTTCTTTTTCTCCTGCAATATTCGCGAAATACTTTAATTTTTATAATTCTATTGCACCATGATTCAAGATTTAACATTACAATCGATATAATAAGCAAGTGATAATTACTAACTGTTGTTAGAGAAAAACAATTTATTGGTGTTGTCATAAATAGACTTGGCCAGCTCGTCTATATTTTCTTTTCGTACTGCTGCTAAGATTTCCAAGACTTGCCTGAAATAAAAATATTCATTTTAGAATACGCAACGATATTTTACGATATTTTTTATTCAGTAATGAATAGTAAAAGGCTGATATGATGACGATGCTTACAAATTTATGATATTCCATAAAATTTGTAATTTCGCTATATCAAATTAAGATATTTGGTTAAAGCAAGTTTATAGGATTAGCACCTCAGATTCAGAATGTCCACTGTGAGTATACACTTACACAATATTAACTGGCTCGTTGCGTCCCTTTACTTGGTTGTCAGTCCCAATATCATACTTCTCTTTCTTCACTGATGGGAACTTGGTGACCACATGGCCGTACCCTGGATGGGTGGATTTCACCTCGCACCAAGGACAGTCGGTTTCTATCATCAGCCTTTCTGTTGGTATTTTAGTAGCCACTTCTAAATTTTCTTTTGTCCTCAATGAACTGAAAAGGCAAGAAGAATCTGAGAAAGGTTTTCTGAAATTTCGGATCTGATAGAAATAAAAATTACATGTTAAAATTACATGACATATATTGTTTAAAAATATTAAAAATGCTAAAATATTGTTTCTTTGGTCTTTTATGGTAGGATTTATGACCAATGACATGTTAAGCTCCATTTACTGGTTCGGTTTCATTATGAAAAAAAAAAAAAAAACATGAAATTAAATAGTAGGCCTTTTGTTCTATACAATACTCTTTTAATTCCTTAATAATAAATTTTCAAGGAGAAGTATTTTTCTATTAAAGAAGTGGCAATTAAATTATGGATTGCCCAATGGTAAATGGTGGGGGGGAAGGAATTGATAGTAATGGAGACTGAGAATCCCATTGCTAGCAATATACCCAACCAGGTCGACCTCCTCGCGGTTCCCACTGGAAACTATCATGGTTAATTCTTGATGAATTCATCACGATGGGCTAACTGGCCTGTTTTCATTCTCATCTATCACCCTTCACTGGTGCTCCGCCAGCGTATCCCGTTAGCGCAGGCGGGGTTACCATTTCATTTTCACCCATAAGAAAAAATGGTAAATGGTTACCGTGGCTATGATTGTACATAGTGTATGATAATGGAACGGTAACCCCTGCGTTATCGGTATACGCTCACGAGGCCCCCAGCGGCTGGTCATAGATGAGGATGAAACCAGGTCAGTTAGCCTATTGTGACGGATTGAACAAGAATGAACCACGACGGTTTTCAGGCAGAACCGTGTAGAGGTCAACCTGACAGGGTATATTGCTAGCAATGGGAATAACGTTCATATTACTAACAATCCCTATCCATCCCAGTTGCATTATATGTATATGTAGGCTACGAACCATAGGAGTCATGCGCACACTTGTGGACTCTGTACAAACGTTTTTTGTAGAACCCCATGTTATAGCTTTCATTTCGTTCATTCCATGTTATAGTTAAGAAGATCTTAGGTTTTTTTTAATGAGTGATAATGGAATGGTAACCCCACCCGCGCTATTAGTATACACCGGCGTGGCACCAGTGAAGGATGATAGGTGAGGATGAAGCATATCAGTTAGGCCATCGTGACGAATTCAACAAGAACTGTTCAAGATGGTTTCCAGGGGGAACCACGTGAAGGTCGACCTAATAGGGCATATTGCTAGCAAATGGGGCTGTCAAACTCCATTGCTAACAATCCCTTTCTCTCCCAATCTTAGAAGGTTGGCTACTTAAAGTAACAAAACGGGAATACTCACCATCCATTAATACCTATATACAATCCCAATGCCAATATTTTGTTTAATGCGTCCTCTGTACCATCGAATGAATGCACCACTCCACCGACAATTTTATCTTGGTTTCTACTCAATATATCGACGAGATCATCGGCGGCAGCGCGGCAGTGCAAGAAGAGTGGTAAGTTAAATTCTTTACTCAACTGTAACTGGAACTCAAAGTATCTGTGGAAATTAATGTGATTTTATAAAAATATAAGAGAAGGATTTTCCAAATCGGTATACTACTAACTTTTTGAGGGGGAGGGGTAATATGGACTTCCAGTCTTATTGCTAGTAATATACTCCAGCAGGTCGACCTCTATATTGTCCCCTTGGAAACCATTGTACTGAATTTTAGGTGTATTCATTATGATTGGCTAACCAACCTGCCTTTTCATCCTCACCTATCATTCTTCATTGGTGTCCCACCAGCATATTTCATTAGCACAGACAGAGTTCAGTTCCTCAGTAATGGCAACACATGGGAGGTATCATAGGCAAAAGAGTATACTCTGTTATGTCCATGGTATTGCTCATGTCTATAGGCGACGATTACCATTTTCCATCAGCTTGTTTGCCATTCTAAGTTACATATAAAAAAGTTACCATTCCATAAACAATGGTTCATAAATCTCCTTTTTGAAATCTTGTAAACAAATTTACTTGAATAAAAATTATTTCTATTCCATTTGTTGAGAAAAAATTATATTTTTTTAATTATTTAGAATCTAGGTATTTTTGAAATAGTTGTTACATTATACATACTTGAGTTGAACATCTTTTTCGCAGAAATGCAAACGATCATAGTCCAAGCCACACTCTCCGATTGCAACAACTTTATCTTTGTTTTCCACAATCAGTTCTCTAAGAGAATTAAGATATTTGTCCGGATCTGGCACGAAATCATTGCACCTCGTCGGATGACATCCTACGGTAGAGAATAATCTTGCTGAAAAGTGTATCATTTGCTCAATCATCATCAGACAACACATATTTATCTTGAATGTCAACAAATGCACAGAATTTGATGTTAGAAAGTATAATTTTGTTTTGTTTGTAATCTATTAGCAGATAAGTCTATAAGATTAAAAATGGGATCAGGCTAAATAGAAGTATTTTCTTTTAGCCACTCTGTAGTACTGGTTAAGGAGAGGAGTGTGAGATATATATAAAAGATATTGTCATATCAATCATTAATTGTCCACTGCTAAATATAGCCTGCCCCATAAGGGAATATAACAACATATATATATATATATATATATATATATATATATATATATATATTTATATATATATATATATATATATAGAGAACATAATTACCACATTTGGCAGGTAGGTTGGCAACTGCAGTTAAGCTTTGGTGATATTTTAAGAAAAAGATAGAGTATCTTTAAATTACATCTTTACACAAGACTATGACTCATACATGCAACTTGTAAATGTAAAATCCTATAACTTCTTGGAAGTTTGATGAGTAACAAAAATTTTTAAAATACTGTATTAATGATGTTGAGAAATTATATTTCTCTACTTACAATCGGTGCGAGATAAATCAATAGCTTTCTTGCTATCACTTAAACTTCCTCCTGTTATTATCATTTTGTCCATACCACCAGCCCAGCTTCGGTTAAGTACTTTGTCGAGATCGGGAGCATGTTTCTTTGAACCATGATATATTCCTTGGTACATTTCATCTGTGAGGTTTGCTCCAATATCTGATGATTAAAATATGGAAATGAATTTAATTCTTAATTGAAGACTTTACCTTCATCAACAAGTGATTGAAAAACTGTTACTGCATATTTAGTTTTTAAAAATATTAAACATTCAATAGATAAAGCTTAGATTTAAATATAAGTTTTTAGTAGTGTGAGTACTACCCCAAAGGTTTCTTAAAACACAAGGCATCTTAGCGTAAGGTTCAGGCAACTAATGTGATAGTAATTTAGTTTTTTTTTTATTTTATACATTAAAAAAGAAACATTAAACAACAAAATATGTGTGATAAAACAAATACTTGAAAATTTTTTCTTATAACTATGGAGATCAGGATTTAGGGCTATTCTTTGTAGCAGTCTATAGTGGAGGCCTAAAGGCAACCGGTGACCCCATACCTCTAGAAGTGGATACAGAATCGTTGAAATGACGAAGGTAGGATTACTTACCTATATATTTTCTTAAAACAGCCATAATTCTCATTAGATTTTTTCAAAGACACTTGACAAACGTCTGGTGACAATTCGTAAATTAAAAGCCACGTTAAATGTAGGGAATCGAGCGAAGCGAAGACTTTAGAAAAATAAATCGTTTTATTTATTTAAATAATACTGTAAAACATTAATAGATAAACACATGTGATGAATGACAGATGATTACGACGGATGTGATGGGTGATATGTCACTGTCAGCTGTCAAAAGCGTATATAAAATTCCATTCATATACGAAGATACGAATCCATTATTACGATCCGACGTTGATATTTAAAATCAAGTAATGTATTGTATTTAAGTAAAAAGTATTGACATAGTATCGAATAAATTTATAGTAAACAATATAGATTGTTCTTCTTTATCTAATAATAAAATTGTACCGTATATATTAAATTTAGATGTGCTCTAAATATTAAAATTTGAAATTATTACAATAGATTCATCATCAATATATCAGCCATTAACTGTTCACTGTCGAATATACATAGGCAAGTAGAAGTAAGTGGGAGCACTTGGGGAGTTTTGCCTGTAGTTACCATGTCTGCCAGGCAGGTTGACAACTGCAGTTTTTTTTTAATGGGTAAAAATAGTAACCCCGCCTGCGCTACCGGTATACACTGACGAGGCATCAGTGGAAGATAATAGATGAGAATGAATACAGCTCAGTTGGTCCACTACGATAAATTTGTCAAGAATTAACCATGATGGTTTCTAGGGGAAACTGCGTGGCGATCGACCTGAAAGGGTATATTGCTAGCAGTGGACCTATTAGACTTCATTATTAACAATCCCTTTCCTCCCTGACAACTGCAGTTAGGCTTTTAATGATGTTTTAATAGGGACGCTGCTGACCATTCCTCGATCTTTCGTTCATTGCTTCTTACGACACCCACGGGAAAGAAAGGGATGGCCCATTCTACGCCAAGACCACACGGCAAACAATAGATTACTATTAAGTTTCTAGAGTAGTTGTAGTATTCGATAGTTATACAGTTGTGATTATAGTTATATAGTTTTTATTTCCGGGATAGATAGATCTACTATAGTAAATTGTTTGTATAAACAATTTACTCAACTCATTCTAGCAATGCAGATGAAGTAGATAATGAAATAACTACTTTTCATAAGCTCTGTATACTGTGATTAAATGATAAGTAATATAGATAAGTACCTGAACATACATAAAATCTATTTTTTTACCATAAAGGTGATCAACAAGCATACAACCCGTCTAATGGTAAATAGTCCTTGAAGCCTGTGAAAGCCTGAAACACTGGGGGTATCTAGGGCACGCTGCCAATTCTAAAGAAATATTGATACACCCTGTTTGAAGAACATATTGTAGTCTCAAGGAAAATTTTCAGCAGGGACCTCTTTCTACAGCCTGAGCGGGGGGAAACTTCTTTGAAACTACACTATATGCAATCATTTAGGTTCTAGCGTGTGAGGATAAATTCTTTGATGAATTATGGGAAATGAAACAAAATTTAACTACAACAATTTAATAGTCTTTAGTACCTAATGGCTATTTTACAAGTGCAAGTATAGAACCATAGTATAGAACATAATCGACTAATGTAATATGATGCTGTCAGTGTTTGCTATGAATTAGTACATACAAACCTCCAAGACTGAAATTGTTCACTAACTAAAATTGCATCATTAAAGTATAAATCTAACTTTTTTAATTTACAAATTCATGTTCGCGTAAGTGTATTTGTGTAAGTCATATCAGAGATCTTCGTATCTGTACACAACGAAAGTGGCTTAGAAAGTAACTCTTCGCATTAAAGGAAGACCTTACTCAAACAATTATCAGCGTAAGGCATTTCCAGCACTACATTATCGAAGTTACCTGATCCAATCTCTTTTGAAAAAATTTCAGTATAATTTAATGCAGCGACAATACCATAAAAAATTCTGATGATGCTTATGATAAGCATATTTAATTTCGTTCTTATATCAGAATTCTCTGGTGCTCACCCAGGATCCGAGCAGAGTTTTAGCTATGCACATAAAATATGTCTAAGAGTATGTATTTGTGCCATTTTTAAAGTGTCAGGCTTGAAAATTTCTATCTTAAATATGCCAATGTTTGATTTGCGGTCTAACGCATCATAGATGCCTAAAGTTTATGCCTTTTCGCTTAGGCCTGTTACTACCACCAGTTCAGCTTTCTTTTCACTTGATAATAGTTATTTCTGAAAAAAAAAAGTAATCATAGTACTTACAGTGAGTTAACAATATCGTTCATATTATATGAAAATTTCATTAATTCATTATGGGACAGTTTTAAATTTATTTTATGATGGACGTTGTTTTGCTAAACCATTAAGCCATCAAGGTTGGTAAGATGTAGGGGTTGTCTTCTATTGGTTTGATCTAAATACAATTATTTGTATTTATCAGTGCTTCCCATTATAAGTATTAGTCTAGACGACATATTGATCAATGTTTTATCAATTGCTTTAGAAGTTTTTAAAATTTTATAATTATTAATAGACTACTTATCAATATAAAAACTTGAAAACTTGCTTTTCAACTTGTCATGATACATATAATTTGTACTGATGCTGTTAAAAATGTTTGATTGTATAGGCATCAATCCGAATAATTCCTTAGAACACTACCCATCATATATTCGATAAAAGATGCATAGAGATGCAACATTTCTACACAGTTTCAGGGAATATAAACGTTTGAATTTTGTGGAAAATAAATCCACGACTATTAGAATATAAGGCAGTATGATAAATCGATATACCATTAAAGGCATCAAAACAAGGAACCAAAGATTAGCATATCAAAATTTGAAGTATAAACTCACAGTCTGTAATGTGCCATCTCTAAGAGCATGATGAGGATCGAGAATAGGATGCCATACATCATGAGCAGCAAAACAGGTATCAAGTCCATCAAACCCACGCTACTGAATGCTGCCAGCTTGTTTGAGCAGTGTGGCTTCGGTGTTTGGAGGCGTTTGTTAAGCACTGACAAAATACCGACCTCACGGAGTTGCTTGTATCTGAAAACAATGCAATGAAACTGAGAGAGATTTTAAGGGGATTTAAGAGAGACTTGTAGAACTTATGTTTGTTTCAAGCATTTGTTTGCATGACTGTCTTCCTGTTTTAAGATTAAAATATGGAAGTAAAATTGCTGAATAAGCATTATTGTCTATTGAGCGCACATCTATATTCGCCATAAAATATGATTCTAAGCCAATTACTAGTATATAATTTTATTATTTAAATTGTCATATAGTATCTCTGCACATCCTAAAGGTTGATTGATAAAAAATGCCTATAAAATTAAGTTCGCCTTTTGTACCACATTTTATGGTCAATAAAGTTTAAATAAATAAATAAAATAAATATATCCTACGACTCTATGCAATACTTTAAGATCGCCATTTCATTTTGAACCTACCAGATATAGAAAATAATTCTAAGGATCTCAAATTGTGTCAATTCAATTGGCTCATCTCATCTGGACAATTTTTTTGTATCTTATCTTCTTATTAACTAAACTCACTTCCATATTTATAATATGAAAGGGAGTTTGTTTGTTATCTCTTAGTGCTTTAATGGTTTGCCATAGAGTCGTGTACTTTGGTGTACACTAGTTTGGGATAGAGAAAGACGAAATCGCAGGTAAAAATTAGTAAATGACACATTAAACTAACACGACTCGAAGCAGTTCTATGTACGGTGAGTCTTTCTTCACAGGAGTGGCGGCGTCAAAACTGTTGATGAAGTCCACTTCAGTTAGATCGCACTTCTCCGATTCCAGGAATGTTTTCTCAACGCGATGATAAACTGGTTCCACTATAGAGTGGAAAGCGAACAGACCCTGAAATAATTAGTTATTCTTCTGTTGGCAACATTAAGAGGTGTCTCTGTACAAATAAACAATAGAAGTGTAAAATCCTCAGGAGATGAGAATGTTAAATTCATATATATTTTAAGGAATGAATTAATGCAGATGGCTCAGTACCGCAATTATTTTGTAGCGAAATGGCCAATCCACACCACTATTCATCTATCGTCCACTATTAAACATAGGTCTAGTTTCAAGTACCTCTAAAACAGAACAGTCCATTACTTCGACTTTTATCCACCTAATATCTATATTTGGTACCCCAGAGATCGTGAGCTCGAATCTAGGCTTGAAACTTACTAATCAAATTGGAAATTATATTAACTGTGACTATTTGTAGTCCTATAAGTATTTCTAATAGAAAATCTTATGAGGATGGATTAGATTCTTGATGGAAAGTTGACGAAAATTATTGATATCTAAATTTTAGCATTTTCCAGTAATATTATATTGTCTTTAACGGAATCTTAAATAATAATTAAAAATAACCTTTCTTATTCTCTCAACTCCTTCGTAAATGTGGTAGTATTTGCCTTTTCCATTTCCATCGTCGATTCTGTCATGGATACTTTGGTGTATTGGATCTGTGAGAGTTTGTGCAGGCTGAAAAGTATGAAGTACATTTCATTTGCATTTTTGATAACCAGGAGCTTGTTTCGATTTTAAGGGTAGGATATATAGCAGTAAAATTTCAGGGTGTGGAAACAACGCTAGTTCCAGGAATGCAATAGCGATACTATGGACATCAAGTGTTTCTCCTCATTATGCTATTCACATCCGTAGGCGGAGGTAGCTTCTTTCTATTAGCCAGGTCGTCAAGCTTGGTTGCCAAGTTGCATTAAAAAAAGAATTCTTCGTATTTGATTGGATACAGTACATTATAAATGTATAGTAGTAGAAAGTATATAATTACACTTAGCACGAATCGATTGTAGTCTAAATCGTTAGCTGCCAAATCGATTTTGGAAGTAGCGAGCTGGGCCAATGTTTTGATGGAGTTGGAAGGTGCTTGCAGCAGGACAACGATGTTGGCTGAATACGCTGCGTAGAGTGCCATTAATCCCGCAAAGAATACCCATTCCATTACTCGACCTGGACAATCTTGGTAGTTATTAGTTAAGAATATACTAGGGTGGGTAATATATTGCATTATCTTTTTTTTTTTTGAAAGAAAAAAACTTTATTTTACAAGAAATATGCGACGGCACCCACACAGGGGTTAAAAAAATCCATATATTAAGAATTATAATAAAGAAACAACACAAAAAAATATTTATAAAAAAAAATATATATAAAATTAAAAAAGAAAAATAAAACGATTCGTATTATAACAATTTCATCAAAAATGAGTGTGTGTGTGCGTGCGTCGCAATACCTGCAAAATGAGGCGCGTGCTCAGCATTATGCTGTAGTGTCAGGGACACTACAGCGCTGATTTTCAGCACGCGCCTCGCCAACCCGCGGAGTCCTAATAATAACAATAATGTTTGAAAACTTGACCAACACAGTGGTGTGCTTAAAGTGTATTGTGTAAAAAATAAAAATAAAATAAATATAATAAATTTGTGGTGGGTATATATTGAATGATAAATTGTGACGTTGTCAATGTTGAATAATAATAATCACACGAAAAACATAAAATAGGTATAGAATAAGTATTTTCCTTTTACGTAGTAATACTACAGACGCTAAAGAAACCAAATATCGAATATAGTTGAATCATCCCCACATTCAATCGAGGACCACAAAAACTAGGTAAGTACTTACCTCCTTGAGTTGCAATATGCTCCTCTTGCAATATGCAATATGTCAATAATGTAATCAATAGCAACCAGTAATTAGATAATAATAAAAAATATATTATTGATTGTGTATTATATTAAAGTGAAATAACTGTTCATATATGTATCATAGAACTCCTAGCTGCACCTAATAGGATACTCGTTAGAAAGTCTCTGGTAAGGAAGATCCCGGACAGAGACCATCAATTTAATTGGCTTTTTGTTGGTGTAGATAATATTTTTTTAGATTACTCTTAAACGTATGTACATTTTTCAGGTTTCGAATTGGTGGAGGAAGATCTTATCTAATTATTTTTGTTACAATATCTATATATTTATCCAATAAAGAATATGTTAAAAGTCTATTATCCACAAAATAATATTAGACAACAGACTTTTAATATATTCGAAAATAGATATCGGACCGATATGGGCGATAACTAAATGTGTTTTGATCTTTTTTTTGTCATCAATGTCCAGAGGAATTTAATACATAGATATCGGATCGGTATCCATATTACTCATGCCTAGTAGGTACTATTGTTAATATAGGAACACAATCTGGAGATAGGAGATAGGAGAGTTCTGGAGATAGGAGTGACCCAATAAATTATAGACCTATATCCATACTCCCAGCACTCAGTAAAATTTTTGAAAAAATAATCCTTATGCAACTTGTCAGTTATTTCAATTTAAATAATTTAATCCACAATAGTCAATTCGGTTTTTCCAAAGGTCGTTCAACTACAGACGCAGGTGCAGAGTTGCTTAGACACGTATTTGCTGCATGGGAAACTAAAATGGATGTGATAGGTGTTTTTTGTGACCTTTCTAAGGCTTTTGATTGCGTTAATCATAATACATTGCTAAAAAAACTTGCTTTTTATGGCGTCAAAGACAATGCTTTAAATTTAATAAAATCTTATCTATCTGATAGAATACAGAAAGTGAAGATTAGCAACGCTACGTCTGACGGGTCACTTGTGCAAATGGGTGTACCTCAAGGATCTATTCTCGGTCCATTTTTATTCCTAGTTTACATTAATGATCTCCCATATGCCATGCAGGATAGATGCGGCATAGTATTGTTTGCAGACGATACTTCATTGATTTTTAAAGTTAATAGAATGACTAATAATTATGACGATGTAAATAGTGCTTTGCGGCGTCTCCTGCACTGGTTTACAACTAACAATCTTATGTTAAACGCTAAAAAAACAAAATGTGTTAATTTCTCTCTGTCTAAAAGTTTTAATACTAATTGCAATATTAAATTAAATGACGAATCTCTCGAATTTATAGAATCTACTGTCTTTCTAGAAATCACACTAGATAATAAAACACAATGGGGTGCACAAATTCAAAGCCTTGCAGCGAAACTAAGTTCAGCAGCTTTTGCCGTGCGTAAGGTTAGACAGTACACTGATACTGATACTGCTAGATTAGTCTATTTTAGTTATTTTCATAGTTTACTCTCTTATGGAATATTACTATGGGGAAAAGCGGCAGATATTAAGAATATATTCATATTACAAAAACGTGCCGTTCGAGCGATCTACTGTATGAAGAGTCGTGACTCATTAAGAGAGAAATTCAAAGAGGCAAATATTCTCACCGTTGCTTCTCAATTTATATATTCAAATATCCTATATGTTCATAAAAATCTTGATTTATTTCCAAAAAACAGCAATATTCATAATATTAATACTAGATTTAAAGACAAACTTGCTGTCCCCAAGTATCGTTTAGAAAAAGTTAATAGGTCTTTTATGGGAATAGGTATAAAAATTTACAATAAGATACCAAAGGATATGTTGGAATTACCCTTAAATAAATTCAAAACATCTGTTAAATCATATTTACTGAGCAAAGCCTATTACTCACTAAACGATTACTTGAATGACGAGTGTGCATGGCAATAGTTGTTCATGCACTGAATTTTCATTTAATGTTAGACATAGACACCTATATAAATATACATTGTAAATAAACTGGCTTTAAAAAAAAAAGTAATTCAATTGAGTTTCTTGCCAGTTCTTCTCAATTGGATCTATATACCGAACTGGACGGTAGGGAAAAAAATAAAATTATAATGTAAAAATTTGACGTTCATAAGCGGCTAAAATGTCCTACATGAATAAATGATTTTTGAATTTTGAATTTTTCAATTTATATGACGTATGATCCTATTCACTCATGGATAGGAGAAAAAAAGGTATGACGTCGCAACATCAGTTTACTAAAAACCACAGTCGGTGTAACCTACTTGAAATATCGAGATAACCCAAGTTAACGATCGCGTTTATTTCTATTCATATCTCTTATAATTCATAACACTACAGGTACGTATAAAATATATTTTCCTATTTATATTTATATGTCTGAGTCTGATGTATGTATGTATTTAGATGTCTGAGTAACAGGACAGACTAAGTAACTACCTATCTGAAGAAAATGTTACTACCCGCGCTAACGGTATACACTGGATATAGTATTATATTATCTGTGACACTGGTGAGGTATCAGTGAAGGATGTCAGGCGAGAATGAAAAAAGCAGATCAGTTAGGCTATCGTGATAAATACACCTGGGTTTCTGCACGATAGTTTCCATGGATTGTTTGTATAGTAATGCGGACTACCGTCTGTATTACTAACAATCCTTTCCCCACCCCTTCCATACCACAAAGCTTTCAAATAATCATACGGCCCGTCTGATGGTAAATGGTTACTTTAATCTATGGACACCTGCAACATTAGGAACGTCACAAGAGCGTTGTCTACCCTAATAAATAAACCTTAATACATATATAAAAAATATATAATTACTAAATATACACATCTACATGATGAATTATTGATGGAAATGGAATGTATTGTTATGGCACACGCACAAAAGAAATTTTTGCTTAGCTTTATATATTTTTTTTAATTATTTTATTTTATGTATATGTTATTTATGTATATGTATTTTATGTTTATGTATATGTTATAATTTGTGTGCTGTAAGTAATGCAAATAAATTATCTATCTATATAACATGGTAGGTATTACCTGGCATCCTTCTTGGTTCAATGTAACAGCCTTGTTGAGTGACAGCACTCATTGTTAACAGCAGCGCGTCACCAATACTGCCATCCAACTGTGTTGGGTTCTGCAAAGATAAGGATAGACAACATTTCCTTACCACCCAAATTTAAAAATGGCCGGCAACGCACAAGCAATTCCTCTTATGTTGCAAATATTCATGGGCGACAGTAACCGCTTTCCATCAGGGGACCGTATGCTCGTTTGCCTCCCGAACAATAAAAAAGCCCACTTATCCCCACCATCACTTCTATATTGACACCAGAGGGAGACTTTGTACAAAAGTCGATTGCTTGGGTACCTCTGTCCCATTCGTGTTTCTACCATGAAGCAGTTGTATTTGCATGGCTGTGTTTCGGTTTGAAGGGTGGGATATGGCGTGAATTTACAGGGTACAGAAGAATAAAACCTGAGTCCTCAGGAATGGCAACGCATGGGGGGTATCATGGGCGAAACAGTATACTCTGTTATGTCCATGGTACTGCTCATGTCTATAGGCGACGGTTACCACTTTCCGTCAGGTGGGCCGTGAGCCGCTGTAGTAGTTCAGTTAACCCACCGTGACAAATTTAACAATAAATCAACCACTGTAGTTTTCAGGGAGAACCACGAGGAGGTCGACCTGACAGTATATTACTAGAAAGGTGGTTACTAATCCTCATTACTAATAATCCTTTTTCCTCCTAGTAGAAAGATTTTAGGTTTAGTATACCGTTTCAAACTTGAGTTCCCATTTGCTGGTGAGATAGAACGTTGCAGTACAAGCCACGGAGCACACGGCTATAGCAATCCAAACATTCCTCGAGAAAGGGAGGGAGAATATATTGGAGACATAAGAGAGAGGGGGCTGTCGGAACACGAAGCGCATACGCATGGGCGCCACTGTGTCAGTATATGCAACCACTTCCATGCGATCGATGAACACCACGCAGTTGGTACCTGAAATAATAATAAGTTGTAACAATTTCATCATCGTCATCATCCTATCAACCTTTAACTGTACACTGCTGAACATAGGCGTTCCGCATAAGGAGGGTTTTGCCAGTAGTTGCCACGCTTGGCAACGAGTTGGCAACCGTAGTTAGGCCTTTGGGGTTGTTTTAAGAGGGACGCTGCTGCGACTATAATTTCCCTTAGTCGTCTCTTACGCCACGCATGGGAAAGAAAGGAGTGACCTATTTTATGCCGGGGTCGACACGGCGATTGTAGCAATATAATATAACAATGGGCTAGAAATCCAGAAACAGAAACTAGAAACAGTTTCCTATAGTTAAATAGAATTTTTAAAAATAATATACATATAATTATGTTATTCACTGAAAATGTAGCTTTTTTTATAGACGAATGACATTTTTAAAATCAGTTGAGTAGTTTTTGTGTTGATCCATTATAAACAAACATTCAAATCTTCCCTGTTTGTAATATACTAATGTAGGTATACATATAAGATTTTTTTTTTAATGGATGATAATGAAATGGTAGCCCCGTCTGCGCTATTGGTATATGCTGGCGGGACACCAGTGAGGGATGATAGATGAGGGTGAAGCAGGTCAGTTAGCCGATCGTGACGAATTCAACAATAAACCAATCACGATGGTTTCCAGGGGGAACCGCGAGGAGGTCGACCTGATAGGGTTTATTGCTAGCAATGGTGTTGCTAATCCCCATTACTAACAATCCCTTCCCCCCTACATATAAGAATTAAAGATACAAATATATTCAAGCCCATAATTCCTAACGGAATACTCAGAGACATTTGTCGAATATTTATTTTAAACAATTGTGATGAAGCGAGCACTCGAGCCATTTTGCCGAGAAGAGTTACATAGGCGAGTGTATTTACCATTTCACTTTTATATCACTACACAATATAAAATAAAGTCGCTTGCCGTCTGTCTGTCCCTATGTATGCTTAGATCTTTGAAACTATCGAACAGATTTAGATGCATTTTTTTTAATAGATAAGAGTGGTTCAAGAGGAAGGTTTATATGTATAATATAGTAAAGAAACATTGATAATTTTAGAGGTTTCTAATGTGATATTATGCAATGTGCACCCGTGCGATGCCGGGGCGGGTCGCTAGTATCAATATAATTTATGATTGTATTGCACCAAAAATAAAAAGATTTCAATTGTGGCAAGATTGGTTATTTCAATTTAAAAACTAAACCACTTGGTCGATTTCGATAAAATTCCTATGGGATCAATCTAAAAGTATATGGTTTCGGAAAAAATTCTAAATCGGTTTATAGCGTCTGGAGTTACGAGGTAAGAAACTCAAAAAATATAACGGTAACCTAATTGACAACTTCTTCCTTTTTTTAAGTCTATTGAAAAAAAAATTACGTACGGCACAATTACTATTTTCCAATCTATTGTTTCACAATTTGTTTAGTTTTAAATTTTTTTTTATACAATTTAGAATGGCAAACAAGCTGACGGCCTCCCTGATAGAAAGTGGCAACCGTCGCCTATAGACATGAGTACCATGGACATAACAGAGTATACTGTTTCTTCCATGATACCCCCCCCATGCGTTGCCATTCCTGAGGACTCAGATGTTTTTCCTCTGTACCCAGTAAATTCACACCATATCCCATTCTTCAAACCGAAACACAGCCATGCAAACACAACTGCTTCACGGTTGAAACACGAATGGGACAGAGATACCCAAGCAATCGACTTTTGTACAAAGTATCCTTCTGGAAAATCTTTAATAAGTAGATTGGATAGTAAATATAATAAAACTGTTACCCAAATCCGCTTTATTCAGCTGTATATCGTGTATCATGCCGGACCACTGGCCGTTGACTTTATATCCAAATCTGTAGCTGAAGATGTATCTTGGAGTTGCGTTCAACATCTCAAAAGCATGTAGAGCAGATATCCAGCAAATTTTTGCTACTGCATCGTATTGGAGTTCTCTTCAAAAATTACATTGACTGGTTTATTCTTTATGCACTATACACAAATGTATTGTTAGTTCATCATTATTACTTCAGCTGTTAACTGCTGAAGATAGGTTTTGACTACCGATTACCTTAAAATACATTCCTATGAACGTAGGTGGTTCCATGATTCGACTGCTATTAAGGTCCATTAAATCATCATCATTATTATCTCAGCCATTATCTGTCCACTGCTGGATATAGGTCTCCCCCATAGTTTGGTCATAAGGAACAATCCTGAGCCACCTACATACACTGACTCACTAAAATAAATTTATGATCATTACTCTGTATTTCGATATAAAAATATCACGCGTATTTTAGTAGAGAATGCTCTACTAATTTCGGGATCATCCAGGACTCTTAGTCTTGAGCGGCCGTGACGTGAATGTAAGCCTGAATGCGCGCTTTGATCTCTTACATCTTACAGCTTGGTACAAACAGTCACAGTATAATAATAATTACAGTAACTTTCAAATATCTTTAACATGTTTTTCTACGAAAATGAGGACGTCGCCTAATATTTGTTTCGTTCTCTATATTTAAGTGACAATAGGTTCACTAGATTATATACGTTTGCAAAACTTACTGTCTGTCCTCTTGAACAAGATGATATTTTGTTGTGTTACTATCTTGTATCACATTTGATATCGTAAGATAATGACCTTTTAGGTCCCTTCTTCTTCGAAACAAATTCTTGTAAGGTCTGGTGTCGACCAAAGACCCGTTATAGAAGCCTCTCGGTGTTGATATCATCGAGATATTGATAGAGGGTCTGTGTACTGGGCATGAAGGAATAAAATTAACTTTAGGGTAAACTCTTGTGTGCTGAATTTATCGCGTAGACGAGTGCAGTGAAAATTTAGACATTATATTGTTTATTATTTCAGTCTATTTTAAATCATCATTTCATTTTGGAATTGGTGCAATGTATCTAGCTTGTAAATTCGTTTAAGCTGCACTAGTTAGGGATAACAGGTAAGAATGAAAAAGCAGGTCATGCTCACGATGACAGGTCATGATGGGCTAAGCCCATCATAACGAATACATTTGGTGTTCAGCACTGTAGTTTCCAGTAGGGATCACGTCCTCATGAAGTATATTGCTAGTAATGTGACTGGTAAACTGCATTACTAACAATCCCCTCCCCCCAGTTTGAAGAGTAGGATATGGTAATGAAATGCAGAAATTCTGAGTTCAGACCCACAATACTCTCGTCCTTAAGAATAGCAAAGACTTGAGGCAAAGCGTAAGGAGTATCACAGATTTTTTTAGTAGATAATAATGAAATGGTAACCCCGCCTGCGCTATCTGTATACACTGGCGGGGCACCAGTGAAGGAGAGTACCACAGTATACCAAATCTATTAAAACTAGTTACTATGAGTATTCTATGAATAGAGTATTAGTGTTATTGTTAAATTCCATCACGGTTTAGGGACGTCACGTCAGTTCCTTTCAACGTTTGCCATCCCAAGTCATATAAAAAATACCGTGATTAAATGAAACTCTACTTACATTCAATCAATTTAAATCCTTCAGCAGTCTGTTCAGCTAATACTAGCTCGCTGTCTGGTAACAGTGGTCTGCTGTACAAGATCTCTCTTGACCTACCAGAGTTTTCGTTAGAGAGAACTAACCAACGGAATGGGGACGCAAAAAGTTTTTCATCAGTTGCCTGAATGAAAAATTAAATATTTATTTGTGTTTTTGTTGATGAGTATCAGTTCTTGCATGGCTGTGTAGCGGTTTAAATGGCAAAAGAACTTTTTGATAGGGTAGAAGCCATAATTAAGGGATTTCAAAAAAGTAAATCTGTCTAATTTTCTTGGGGCTTTTCATTTTAACCCTTATTCAAATATTGGGAAATTATTTCCCACTTGACAGTACCGTAATATTTCTTTATTATTTCTTTACTGGTAACTCTAATCAGTACCAATCCAGGAACAAAATAATTTTACACACTTTTTAAATATTTTACTTGGCAACATTTTGGACAAAATTGCGTAATGTCATCGTATGTCAATGTCAAAGTCACAATTTGAATTTTTTGGTGCACAAAACCGGTTCTCGCAGGACTTTCGAAAATTTTTGTAGAAAAAAAATCTGGTAAGTACATAAACAATATATTGATGTAAACTAGACTTATTTTCTGAATGCTTTTTACGGTTTCTGTGCTTTTTGCACTGATATTTCTTGGATTTTATTAGGTTTAATTAGGTGGGAAATAATTTCCCAATGTTCGTTCCTGCTTTGATAAACATCAGTGTCTTTATATATATATAAAATTGTTTGTCAGCTGTAATAATAACGGTATAGGAACTTGTAATACGATAGCGAGTAAGTCAAATTAGTGGCTTTTTGCAAAATTGTGACTGCGTTTATGTGATTTCTATGCTTTATTCCAAACGAAGCCACTTATAAGTTTTAGGACTTTTGTAACTATTTGTGCAATATGCTGATAAAACTACATAATTGCCAACTTTTTATAATTTACTTTCAGCTATTCAAATATGGACGCAAGAAAGGAACGTAAAGTGCTCGCCAAGAAACTATTAGAAGAGGTGGTACAAAATTTAGACGACTTGTCTGATTTATCAGGCTCAGATTCTGAGGATGACTCATGCTTTATCAACAGTATTCATTCTCCTTCCGATAGTTACCTAAATCAGCTCGATGATAACCTAATTGAACAACGTCTTGAACATATCTTTGGCTTTGGATTGACGGGAGACAAACAAGACCCACCTTCTCCCCCTATGCAAACTCAACAGATTTCAACGGATGCCTTACTGACAGTCTTAGATGAAACATCGCATTTCACAAACACACCAAAAACAGACAACAGTCTTTTGCCAACTCACTTAGGTACTGAAACTGAGCAATGTTATGATCAGCCTTCTGACGTTCACACATTTAATGAAGTTCAGCAAAATTTTGATGTCATTGATGCCCCCATGGAAGAGTTTTTGGCAGATGATGGGCAAGAGTCTGAAACTAACAACGAAGTACGCAGAGATCGTTCTCAGCCAAGAGTATGGGAGATAAAATCGGAAACCCATGAAGTTCCTCTTTTCAAAAAACGTTTTAAGCCCAAGGCTAACGATACTCATAAAACATCACCTCTAAGTATTTTTGAGCGGCTTTTTCCTGATGAACTGATGGTAATAATTGTGGAACAAACCAACAGATACGCCCGTCAGAAAAATAGTACTAACTGGAAACCTGTAACTCTACAAGATATTAAGGCGTATCTAGGAGTTTTAATCCTTATGGGCTTAAATCCTTTACCGGACATGGAACTCTACTGGTCATCAGATCCCTTTTATTACAATAAGGAAATTGCCCAGGTTTTCCCAATAGTAAGATTTAAAAAAAATACAGAAAACCTCCACTTAAATGATAACGAGATGGAACCACCAAGAAACTCCCCTGAATATGACAAATTATTTAAATTGAGACCCCTCCTCACAGAACTCAACAAAGTTTATCAAAGAGAGGCATACAATTCAGAAGTACAATCGATTGATGAGTGTATGGTCAAATTTAAAGGGCGGAGCTCCTTAAAGCAATACATGCCGAAAAAACCCATCAAAAGAGGATTTAAGGTATGGGCAAGATGTGACGCCAAAACTGGGTACTTGTACCAATTCGAAGTGTATTCAGGAAAAGGCGACAGCACCGAAAATGAAGGGTTAGGCTACAATGTTGTCATGAAACTCTGCAGTAACGTACCAAGAAACACTTTAATTGCCTTTGACAACTTTTTTACTAGCTGTAACCTCATGGAGGATCTTTACGATAAAAATATTTATGCAGTGGGAACAGTCAGATGCAACAGAAAGGACTTACCTGATATGATAAAAAAAAAAACAACCGAAACCATTGCGATTAGATAAACATCAGTTTTCAGCGGTTACTGCAGAGCCAATTACAGCCATTAAATGGCTTGACACAAAGGAAGTTACTGTCCTGACAACAGCACATCAGCCCTTAGACACAAGGATGATAAAAAGAACCCAAAAGGATGGCTCTGGAGCTGACATTCTCTGCCCGGCTGCAATTGCTTCATATACGCTCAGTATGGGCGGAGTAGATCTTTTTGACCATTTTAGATCGTCATACCCTATAAACCGGAAATCCAGGAAATATTGGATGCGACTATTCTTCTTTCTGTTCGATGCATCTATAATTAATGCCTACATAACGTACAACTACTCCCATGTCCCGACCCTGCATGGCCACCGTGATTTCAGACTACGGTTAGCACGTGCCCTTATAGATAATCACACGACACGAAAAACTCACACACAAACAGATGTAGTTTTTAAAAAAAATAAAAAAGGTGGTAGGTTTGGCGTTCCCGATGAGATTCGGCTGCTAAATGTTGGCATACACTTGCCTGAAGAAAGTGCCACTTACAAAAGATGTCGCTTTTGCAGCACAAAGCACAAAGAACAGAGGACAAAAATAGTATGTTCCTCCTGTGGAGTAGCTCTTTGTGCCAAAAACTGTTTCAAAACCTTTCACACAGTTCTTACTCAGTAATGTTATTTTCATATAGTATTTGAAAAGTTCTTAATAAAATATTATTTGAAACATTCTAGTTTCATTTTATTTTTATAATTTTATTCAATCACTCAATCATGTTATATTGAATTTTTTATATAAAAAAAATAAACAAGTAAAGTAGGAGTAAGTAATATGTATAGAATTTGTAGTAAAAATGTCCCAAAAAAATGTAACCATTCCGGATGATGGGAAATAATTTCCCACTTAATTATATTTTGCTTTTCCATACTGGATAATGGGAAATAATTTCCCACCGTAAAACCCCCATTTCCCCTCTTTTTATAAAAAAATGATGTTTTTTTCGAAATCTACAAAGCCCTTTTACTTAGAAACCATGTTTAATTCATAATTTTATTTAAAAAAAAAAATCCATTTGATTAAGGGTTAAGGTAGGGAATTGGGCCTTTTAAAGTAGGGCATCGCCCCTCAATGCCACGCCTCCTAGTTACAGCCATGCAAGGTTTGCACATATGACGTCTAATTTTTGAAGTAACAACGTATGAAGTATCAAGGGTGAACATTAAAAGATCCATTAGAAACCAGAGGAAGACTTTTTACAAAAGTTGTTTGCTAGGGCACGTCTGTCTCATTCGTGTTTCTATCGTAAAGCAGTTGTGTTTGCATGGCTGTGTTTCGGTTTAAAGGGTGGGATATGGCAGTGAATTTACAGGGTACAGAGGAATAACACCTGAGTCCTTAGGAATGGCAACGCATGGGGGGTATCATGGGAGAATCAGTATACTCTGTTATGTCCATGGTGCTGCTCAAGTCTATAGGCGACGGTTACCACTTTCTATCAGGTGGGCCGTCAGCTTGTTTGACATTCTAAGTTGCATACTCGTACAAAAAATCAGATCAGTAGTACCGTAGATTACCGCGAACATTTAAACTCACAAACTTTATCTCTTTATAATATAATAGTATTAGTATAGAAAAATGAAAATGGAATTGTCCTTACATTTAATAAAACGTGTTCAGTACCAGGGCAGCTTAAGTCTATAAGAAGTAACACAAAATGAAATTGAAATTTGCATTTGAACTTTGAAAAACTTGATGATCTAACGCCTATCTTTGATACTGTATTCACCAATTTAATTTGGTTATCTGAAAAGGTCAGAAAAAAATATTGCAATAATGTTTTCAATTACAGTTATAGATGTAACAAAAACTCAGTGAAACTGACAAAAAATTCCTGACAAAAAACTGATAATAAATACTTTGTAAGGAAATAACTTCTTAAACTTTCTTTTAAAAAATATTATTATTTTCATAATAATTCTTCAAAAAGAAGTAGGCTCTCAACTTCGTCTGTATTTTTTTTATCTAGATAAGTTATGACTTATGCCATAACTTATCTATATAAACTTTATGCATAGACAACTTAGCCAGTTCTGAATCGAATATGGAAATACGTTCCGTGATGGATAAACTTCCTATCTGATTCATTAAACTCATATAAATAATTAACTACATACGTTTCTCCCAACATAATCCGCTGAGAACTAAATCTGTTGGTTTTTGCTCGTACACGATAAAATCTCTTACGAAATTAATCACAGTTTCATCTCTAGATTGAACAAGATGTATCATCAATAATAATATGACAGTTCTATACATATTGATGGCCATTGACAACCTGAAGGTTTCAATGTTGCGAGTGATTTGTTGTAGAAACATCTACCGTCATTTATAATAACTAGTGACTGAAGTATGCTGTCAAATATAGTTAAAAATTTAATATAAGTCAATTTTACATTACACGCTAGGTTAAATGCTTAAAGTAATAGGCATAAAATAAGACTTCAAACAGAAAAATTGTTTGTTGACGGACAGTAATGGGGAAAACGTAGACGATTACCTTGTAAATAAATAAAAGTCAAATGTGTACTACTTATTCGAAATCTTTTTTAATTTTTAATAACATTGTAAGCATTTTAAGCAAACATCTAAAGCTCTAACAATATTTTGTTTTAGACATTAACACTAATTACTTATTTTGGTTTATTAAACCTATACAAATTAGACAGTAATATTTTGTTTTTATAACAGATTGTATTTTTTTTATGAGTGATAATGGAATGGTAGCCCCACCCGCGCTATCGGGGGGGAAAGGGATTGTTGGTAATGGAGACTAAAAATCCCATTGCTAGCAACATACCTAACAAGGTCGACCTCCACGCGGTTCCCCCTGGAAACTGTCATGATTAATTCTTCATGATGAATTCATCATGATGAATTCATCATGATAGGCTAACTGGCCTGTTTTCATTCTCATCTATCACCCTTTACTGGTGCTCCGCTAGCGTATCCCGTTAGCGCAGGTGGGGTTACCAATCCATTTTCATTCAACAAAAAAAACCCGCGCTATCGGACCACTGAAGGATGATAGGCGAGGATGAAGCAGGTCAGTTAGCACATCGTGACGAATTCAACAAGAATTGTTCACGATGGTTTCCAGGAGGAACCACGCGGAGGTCGGCCTAATAGGGCATATTGCTAGCAATGGGCTGTCAAACTCCATTGCTAACAATCCCTTTCCCCCCTAACAGATTGTATTAGATTTGATTAATATTAGGAATTACTGGGTACTCGTTATTTAAATATATATTCGAAATCTCTACTAAAGTGTGAATTCTAACTTCATACTTAAAAAAAAATATTTAAATATAGGTGCACAAAAATGTTATAGAGGTAGAATTCATTTGTATTTATACGAGGGATGGCAGTTGACTGTTGAACTAATTGTGTCAATTTGATTGCTCTGCCGTTGCAACTACCATCTAATACTATAACAATAGTTCTAATTATATTTTAAAATAGTGATAATGTAACTTATTCAAGATCAATATAATTGTTCTCGGGATAAATCGTTTTAAGCTTTCTTTGTTTTCTTGCTTTCATTCTGAAACAAATTATAATTACGACATTACATACATAAATTTAGGTATAATCGAATTTTAGGCTTCTTTCAACCGACTTTAAAAAGAAGGAGTTTTTTACCTCATAACTCCGTCTAATTGACTAAATCAGTTTGAAAAATTCTTTTTTTTACCTTTTGAATTTAAATTTTTCAAAATAGGTTCAGTATTCGTTGTTTATTAGATTATTATATTATTGAGTATCAGATTTTATATCAAAATAACTGGTTTTGATGTACCGCTGATTGAAGTCGGTTTTTTGTGAAATACAATATTAAATTATTTTGATATTTGAAAATGAAATGGTAAGTACACTTGCATATGCTACTATTACCGAAGTTAGTATTGATTTGAGACAAATTATTTTCTATTACTCTATTTGTAATTCGAAAAGGAACTTACAATCTGTAATATGCAATCTCCACGAGGAGTACAGCGGGTGCCATCAGCATGCCGTACAGTGTGGCCAACATGGCGGGGTACATGTCAGTGATGCCAACACTGCTGAAGGTGGCCACATGGCCGGAACAGCGCGGCCGGGGTACTATTAGACGCTGACGATTATTGGACTGGATACCCGTTTCGCGAATCCTTATAAAGCTATAAATAATTTAATAATTATATGGTCTCTAAGTACATATGGTTTCAAGGCCAAAGTCAACTCCTGGGGGGAGAGGGGATTGTTTTGTTAGTAAAGAGGCCTGACTGCCTGACTGATGACTGACTGACTTCTTAGCAATATATTCTATCAGGTCGACCTTCACGCGTTTCCTCTGGAAACTTAAGTAATTAATTTTGAATTAATCACGATAGGTGCTTTCATCCTCACCTATCGTCCCTCACAGGTGTCCCACTAGTGTATACCGATAGCGCAGGTGGAGTCACTATTACATTTTCACCCATTAATAAAAAGCAAAACTTCTTAAACCAAAAGGCTATACCGAAGACTTTTAGAAAAACTTCGGTACTAAATTCTTCCATAAAGTTAGTGTTCGCAAAAGGAAATTCCTTTAGAAACTATGCATATACTGTATGTAACCATATTGATTCGAAAACGTCTGAAGGCAATCGATTCTAATCTGGGAGATGCATATAATGACTATCTGTATGTATAAAATGTCGACTACTATCAACACAATTTAAAAACACTGCAAAAACGTCTTTTTGCCAAATATCAACAGAGCGTAATATTTTGTCTCTGTCTAAGGAAAGTCAGTGTAATATTTGATATGCATAACGTCTTTCTCTATAAGATTTTCTTCAATTTCTAACTGAAGGACATTATTTTTATTGTTATAAGTTATTATTACTATAATTTTATATTGTACACGCCGATATGGTAGAATATGGAATAATGGACATGTAATTATTTTTTTCAACTAATGTATGTACCCATATTCGTGCAATAAATGATTTGATTTGATTTGATTTGAAAAAGGCTTTTTCTCCAAAGACATAACCAGACAGAACAATGCGTCCCGTTATATAATGAGGTATGCTAAAGGCGTTGGACCTTGATAATAAACCTGTATCCACATCTAATATAAGACACCTATTCATACATTATTTGGAAGTAACATATTTAAAGACATATTCTCTGTACATAATGTATGATCGTAGATAGATAGGTAGATACTTACATCTCTAGCTCACACAAAACAAGTAAATAAATTAAAATAAAATTACATAAAGGAAAGAAAAAAGGCAAGCAAAACAATTTTAATCATGTGCGATACAGCAACACAAATTGCTCATGACTCAGTTTACACGAGCAAAGCACTGATTTCCTGCCATAATCAAAAGCAAGCCATGATTTCTACACAAAACAATTAACAATTCAATATTTTGTATGTACCTATGTATTAAACAAAAAGAAAAAACATCTACACCATGCAATACCTGATTAATAAACTGTCTTACTTGATTTTGAACAGGTCTTTGAAAGGGGACCTCTTTTGGCCAATCAGCCAAGGATCTATCATGTTAATATAGTCTATTTCCACCAGATCACATTTCTCGTTCTCTTGAAATGTCTCTTGTATCATGCGGTACCCTGGATTTACTTCCATGTGAAATGCGAAGAGACCCTGAACATAGCATAATTTATATCTCTGCTTTTATTAATAGTAAATAATTATTTTAATTTTTATATATTAGACAATATTAGAATGGATTCTCTATTATGAGCTTTGTTAGTTTATTTCTGTGAAGAATATTCAATGAGTTTTCAAATTGTATACATGCATTTATACTATATAATTGCTAATTACCTTTACTAAAATTATTACATGCCTGATAGGATCTAATTGTTGATACTGATGCCAAAACAAAGCAATCTTTACTGTTATATGTACATAGCAATAAAATTCTATTGTATTCTATTCCATCTTATTGCATTCCAATCTATCCCATCCTATCTCATTATATCCTATTCTATTCTATTTATCGAATACTTGCCTTTCTAATTTTCTCTACTCCATCTTTCATACTGTAAAAATTGGGTTTCTTCCCTTTAGGCGCTATTTTTGTATCGTATATAGCTTTCCGTACCGAGTCGTTCAATTGCTGAAATTATTGGATTATTTCTATATCGAGTTTATTAAAGCTTCATCTTGTGAAAGAATTTATTCTAATGTTAGTTAATTATCTTAATATTGAGAACAGAATCATGTTATAGAAAACTAAATGAAGAGTACAAACTTAAGGCCTGGTTCGTTGTACTAAATATTGTAAATTTGTTAATTAAAATTGGAACATTAAAAAATACCATTGGAACAGATAAAAAAAATACCTTCATTATGTGTGGAATAAATCAATTAACTATATATATATATATATATATATATATATATATATAGTTATTGTATTATGTTATTTATTATTATTTGATGATATCTGTGGCGTAGTGGCGGGTATATCGTTTTGTAGAAAAGAGGCTTCGAATTCAATTCCAGGTCTGACCAATGTAGAAAACAAACTTTTCCGAATTGGCTTAGATCTGGGTGTTCTGGGTTATGATCCTAAATTTTCGTTGCTTGGTTCCCCATAATATTCATAACTAGCTTCTACTAGATCAGGCGATTAGTGCGATTTCGTGGCAATTGTGATTTGATTGACAATTAGCTTTTTGCCCGTTATTTCATATTCATATGATAAATGAAATAGAAAAGTTGTATATTACATAGTTTTTAAGTTAGACCCTTAGAAATACTACTGTGAAATCCGCATTCAATTTAATTAGTAATTTTTGGTGATATCGGAACAAACGTAAAGAGCGACAAAATTTCTAAAGATTATTATTTCGGTTCTATTGCTTTTATAAAAATCAATCAATAATATTGATTTTTTTTAAATATCTCCAATGTACGGACATCGTCTAGTTACAATTTTATTATGTTAGTAAGATGTATCTATTTTTGTTAATATCTATTAGCTCACTTAATATAAATACTTACTTTGAAGAAATATCTATTATATACAAAATCACTAGCTCCCAGTTTAATAGGCGAGTGGAGGAGATCAGATAAACTCCTCACCGAGGAGCTGGGAGCTCTCAACAGTACCACAATATTAGCTGAGTACGCTGCGTACAGGATAGTTAGAGCTACGAAGAGTAAGAGGGTTACTATTCTACCTGGAAAGTGCACAATGATGTAACGTAAAATTAGGTAAAATAACATATTAAAACACATAGCAGATTCAAGGGCCTTGAAATTAGATCAAAACCCTAAAACTCTATCTCGGTTGTCAATCCACCTGTCAAGCATGGTAACTACTGGAAAAACCCCCCAATAGGGGAATGTGTGTGCTCAACAGTGGATAGTTAACAGCTAACATGATAATGATGTTGTTGATGATGACGATAATGTTGATGATAACCCCAATAATCATTTGCTCACTAGTCCTCTTTAGGAAGTAATTAGATATATAGATCATTAACACAAAATTATTCTTAATTAATGATTGCAAACAAATAAGGGAAGCAAACAAAAATTCTTCCTTTCACATGGATGGCGACTGAGAGAATTTAATGGTCTAGGGATGGGCAGCAACATCCCTCTTAAAACATCACCAAAGCCTAACTGCCGTTACCAACCCGCCTGCCAAGTATGGCAATTACTAGCAAAACTTCTCTTTTAAGGGGATGACCTAAGTTCAGAATGAACTTAGGCCATCCCAGTGGACAGTTAACGACTGATGTATATTTTTTTTTGATGGGTGAAAATGGTATGATAACCCCGCCTGCGCTAACGGGATACGCTGGCGGAGCACCAGTGAAGGGTGATAGATGGAAATGAAAACAGGTCAGTTAGCCCATCATGATGAATTCATCAGGAATTAACCATGATAGTTTCCAGGGGGAACCACGAGGTCTACCTGGTTGGGTATATTGCTAGCAATGGGATTCTCAGTCTCCATTACTAACAATCCCTTTTCCCCCACGGCTGATGTATCATATAATATAATAAAACCCAAATTGGAATTGGAATACAACATTGTCATACTTCTTGTAATACTTGCTCGAAGAGCAGTGGTGTAACTGATCTGTAGACTCCGCTGTGCAAGGAGTTTTTGGGCGTCCACTCCATTAGTGTTCCCGGAGTCTCCATTAGTACTCATTGACATTTTTACGGAGGACGCGTAGCTATGATCTAAGACCACTAAGACCAAAACAGCTACGCCTCTGTTTAAAAGGCTTGAAAGCGTAGTTGAAACAAGGATTTCATTTACTATATGTATGTATGTATCAGCCGTTAACAATCCACTGCTGAACATAGCTTCCCCCATAAGAAGGGTTTTGCTAGTAGTTGCAACGCTTGGGAGGGTGTTGACGACCGCAGTTTGGCTTTTGCTGGTATTTTAAGCTTCTTTAGTCGCTTCTTACAGCACCTACTGGAAGGGAAGGGGTGGCCTATTCTGTTACATGTATTTACTATATGAGTTTATGTTAACCTTCTAGTTCATTCTTATGTAGCCTGAATAATGTGTGTTTGTTTTATCCTTATACAAAAAATTTTTAGTTTTCTTATAAATAACTCTATTAGAAAAGTATTACACTCGTAAAATTACCAGCAGCATATCGTGGCTCTAGGGTGCATCCTTGTTGCAATACTGCACCGATAATGAGTATGAGGACATCAGCCCACGAGCCGTCCAGTTGAGTTTGATGCTGAAAACGAAAAACTAGAAGTAATTAGTAGAAGTATTTACCAGAGGGAGACTTTGTTCAAAGGTCGATTGCTTGGGTAACTCTGTCTTATTCGTGTTTCAACCGTGAAGCAGTTGTATTTGCATGGCTGTGTTTCGGTTTGAAGGGTGGAATATAGCGCGAATTTACTGGGTACAGAGGAATAACACCTGAGTCCTCAGGAATGGCAACGCATGGGGGGTATCATGGGCGAAACAGTATACTCTGTTATGTCCATGGTACTGTTCATGTCTATAGGCAACGGTTACCACTTTCCATCAGGTGGGCCGTCAGCTTGTTTGTCATTCTAAGTTGTATAAAAATAAAATAAAATTCTAAAGAAATAGAAGAGCCAGTTTTTTTAAAGATTTGAACAACACAAATTTTTCAAAACATTTTCATGGTTTAACGAAGTCTTGGATTGATAGCAGTTTTTACTTCTATGTATGATAGAGTATTTGATATACAAGTAATATATTACATATTTTTAAAGGGTGATTAATTTCGCCTGCGCTCTACACTGGCTAGCCCGGTAATAAGAGATGATAGGCCAAGATGAAAACAAGTCAGTTGGCCTATCGTGATATAAAAATAATTTACCCTGATGGTCTCTAGAGGGAGCCATGTAAAAGGGTATTTTGCTGGCGATCTTAGTATAAGTTTTATTTAACATTGTTTTACTTCTTTTTACTTAATAGCTAGAGAAATCTAAAAAAATGTATTACAACATCAAGTAAAATTAGAGTTATTTGTACCGACTGTTAACATTTTCCTTAGATATGAGAAAAATACCTTAGTTCTCAAGAATGGCAAGGCATTATATAATTGTGATAAGGGTATCATGGGCGACAGAGTATAATTTGTTACGTCCATGTAACTGTTCATGTGTATAGGCGATGGTTATCGCTTTTCATTAGGTGGGCAGCTTGTTTTCCATACAAAATTGCATAAAAAAGTCGGATTGTTTATTATTTCATTGTGGAAAAAAAATATAAATGAAAATTAGTAAATTAAATGACTTACTGTAGACATGGTGGCTTCCCATTTAGAAGTGATATACAGAAACAGGGCACATCCCAAAATGCAAATAAGAATGGCCAGCCAAACATCTCTCGTGAATGGTAGCGTGAAGATATTGGCGGTGTTCGCGAGAGGCGGTTCCCGAAACACGAATCTGATGCCTGTAGTTCCCACCATGGCTACATAGTCGATAATCTCCAAACGTTCTTCAGTAAAGAATGCCATAGTACCTGTCAATACAGAAAATATAAAATAAGTAATTATGTAAACTGAGACATAGTTACATCAGGCAGATCAAGGAAGAAGTTGGTGTCGTGTCGTATCAAGAGGTGAAAAGACTCGCTGAAAATCGTAGTGAGTGGCAAGAGCTCCACCGACAAGAGCGCAGCTCTTAAATAGGATAGATAGATAGAATTATGTAAACTCCTCAATTGTAGTTTTCGGCAATTACATCTGGAAATGTGGTAGTGGAGCGTAAGGTAATCGCCCACTTATAGACAAAATGAAAACGAGAGTATTGTCCGAGACACCAAACAGTTCAGACTCGTTCCTCGCAATCGCTTTGTTAATTTAGAATACGTTTAATAGTAAAATTATATGATTAGTTTTTCTATTTATATAATATTTTTAGTGCATTATAATTATAAATGTAAATTAAAAATATAAGAATTATAACAATTGGTGTGTGTTTAAATGTTTTTTTTATTTTTTTTATACAACTTAGAATGGCAAACATGCTGGCGGCTCTCCTAATGGAAAGTGGTAACCGTCGTATAGACATGAACAGTACCATGGACATAACAGAGTACACTGTTTCACCTATGATACCCCTTCCTTCGTACCCAGTAAATTACGCCATATCCCACCCTTCAAACCGAAACACAGCTATGCAAACACAATTGCTTTACGGTTGAAACACGAATGCGACAGAGGTACCCAAGCAATCAACTTTTGAACAAATATTAAAAATTTAAAAATAATATTTACATTATTAAAAATTTCAACTTAAACCTTTATAAAAATAAACAAATAAATATAAATATTGTTTATAATGCTGTTGTTTTTATTATATTATTTATTTGTTTATAAATATAATTATATTAAATTTAAATGAGAATATCGTCTCTTGATACATACTTATATCGCATACTATATATATTTTTATTATTACCTTTTTTATAAAAAAAATACTAGACCAATTTGAATTTAATACTCTTTATTATTTATTATTCTTCTTTTATTAGAACATTACGCAATCTTGCTTACCTATATGCAATTTTTTTTTGTAGCGATGTCCATATACCCTTTCATCTCAAGAGAAAGAATGGATTATACCGCGCTCTTACCATCTAAAAAACACATCGAAATTACCTAAATCCGCTTCTTTCTTCAGCAGATGTTCTATAATCCCTTGGTAGTTGCCATTTTTGTCTTTATATCCCCAAGTGTAGGGAAATAAAATATTTTCTGTAGCGTTAAGCATCTGAAAACATATCTTCACGATAGCGTATGCCATTTTAGCCCCTGAGTCTTGCTTAAGAAATCTGAAGAAGAAAAGCGAATTGTGAATAAAAAACTTTAACTAAAAACGATTTAACTTGCACTTAGCGGGTTAAGGTGTGCAGTCAGACTCGTGCTTGCGTCACAGTTAAGGGTTCCGAATGGTTCCAAAACTAGTCGAGAAAGTTCGACCAAGTTACACGTAAGATAAACCGGTGGTTATTACATTAAAATAAAATGAATTTTTAAGAACTTTTAAAAATAAAAAGGCACTATTTTTTTATAGGGGCTAGTCAGAGTGAGCTGATGTTAAACAAGTAATGTGGTCCAAACGTGAGGATCGCCATGACAGCAATTTACAGTGTGTTCGCGATCGTCAACTTGCAGATTTATTCTAAAATAAGATAAGGATATGTGTCTAGAATTATACAATTAAGCATTTGAGTAAAGACTATATAAAAATTGAATTGAAAGCACATTAATCCGATAGTCATAGTATCATTCAACTATGTATTATAGTTACAAAAATCGTAACAAATATTTGAGAATATCAAAAGCTACTTTTTAAATTTATTTATTCCCAAGTTATTGTTGTCCAAAACCATGATTAAAATTAACATCTAATAGAAACCCTCTTATTGTATAAACATGCAAAAATATTTTAACTCATTTGCTGAGGAAAGTCAAGTGTCTAATGAAACGAACGGCTAATGCAAACTCTTTTATACCTTTCTTATATACGTTTTAATAGATTTACTTTTAGAATGTTTTAATTTATAATTTTGATATATCTTGTATTTTTGACTTTGTTTTCGTTTTCTTATTCGCTGTACTATACATTTCTCTTTTAAAATCCGTGTCTTTATTATGTATCATTCCATCACAGTCCATCGCTTCGTAACAGCAAATGTTATCAATTTTATGATATATATAAGAGGTAGTACAAACTTACAATCTATCATCCAAGTGTTCTTTAGTTTGATTGCTATCCAAAATCACGTTTGCTATTGTGAGAACATGCCCTCTTAAATCTCTCCGTCTAAAAAACAACGATGTTGATCGTCTATGGTCTTCTATAAAACCATACTTCGATATTACTGTTCTAGTATGGATATCACTTCGATTATTTTTAATTACAAATGATAATCCATAATAATTCACGTCATGATCATCGTAATGACTTAAGTTTATGGGACGCCAAGTAGCTCTCAAAGTGTACATTACATCAGTATCTTTGGACGTTTTGTAAACTGGAACAAAATGCTTCTTATTATAGATAGATAGATAGATACTCTTTATTGTTTCCTCCAAAAGATTACAATAGTAAACTTATTATAAATATAAATAATTACAAGAAATAATCACAATGAGAAAATAATTATACCTATTCGTTTCACCATCATCATCAAATATAATATTAGATTTCTAAGTATCAATATGTAAATTTATTTGTTTGATTAAAGTTTTATGAATTATGAATGAATGAATGAGTATACTTTATTTGCATTATACAATACATATGGGAAATAATCAAGACAATAAATATAACGATACAATTGTATAAGTACAGTAACACAGGCGGTCTTATTGCTGAGAGCAATCTTTTCAAGACAAGCTTAGGGTAATGGACTAATTCTTGTACAAGTAGGTATGATAGTGTTGTATATATAGAATACTACTACATACAATATATATATATATATATATATATATATATATATATATATATATATATATATATATATATATATATATATATATATATATATATATATATATATATATATATATATATATATATATATATATGTGTGTGTTAAATATGTATCTAATACTAGAAAAAATATATATAATTATACGCATAAGGAAAACAATATAATCAATAATACTATGGATTATGGAACTTTAAGATGGTTATGAAATAAAAAAAAGTTTACATTAAAGTTTATAATCAAAGAAAGAAAATATCGTACGTACATATTTACTATTGTTAATTATTATTTTTAATTAGAATTGATGAGAGTGTTGGACGGACTGTTTATCTATAGACATTTTATCTATTTGAGTTGGTTTCAAAATGAAGTCTTCGAAATTAGATTTGGCGTTTTGATTTAATATAATAATATTTGAACATTAAATCGCACAAAGATATTTCACAGATTATGTCAAATATTTAAACTTGTATGATGTGATAATTAAATTTAGTATTTTATTATTTGATTACCTACCTTCAGTTAATATGAATTTTTCGCCAGTATCCCTTGCGACCACCACGTCGCTGTCAACCAACACCTCCAAATGATCAAGTATATCAAGTTTATCTTTAAGGCCTTCTGGTGCTAAAAGTAGCCATCGATATGGGGATTTGAAGTAGCCGTCTTCGCTAGCCTAATTATTATAATAATTATTCTTTATTTTAATTATTTCTTATTTATATTTTTTTGTAACTTATGGTAAACAAGCTGACGGTTTACCTGATGAAAATTGGTAGCCGTCGCCTATAGACTAGGCAGTAGTACCATGGACATAACAGAGTATATTGTTTCGCCAATTATAACTCCTATACGTTGCCATTCCCGAGGATTCAGGTGTTATTCCTCTGTACCCTGTAAATTCACGCCATATCCCACCCTTCAAACCGCAACGCAGCCATGCAAACACAACTGCTTTATGGTTGAAACACGAATGGGACAGACGTGCCTAAGCAAACGCCTTTTGTACAAAGTCTCCCTTTGGTAAAATAATATGCTTTGAATGAATGAATGATAAGTATACTTTATTTGCTTTATACAATATAGGAAATAAGACAATATACAAATTTCATTATCCAGTATTAAAATATGTTTCAATTAATTTATTTCAATTAAATATGGATACAATTAGTAACATGATTAACACGAACTCACAATCATCACTATTGTAGTAGAAAATTATAAATTAGAAGATGTAGAATAAACAAGACAATGCACACTTTGTGTTGGTAAAGACGTCCAAGACTTAGCAGTTAATAAACTGTTTGAAAAGGACATAAAATAATCGAAACTTCTTTAAAGTATAATAAGTATATCCTCGTCATCATCATATCAGCTGTTAATTGTCCACTGCTGAACATAAGCCTCCCTCCATAAGGGCGATTTTGCCAGTGGTTGACATGCTTGGCAGGCGAGTTGACAACCGCAGTTAGGCTTTAGGTGATGTTTTAAGTGGGACGCTGCTGCCCATTCCTCTACTATTAAGTTCCATTCGATACCTTTTACGATAGTCATCTCTTACGATAATCACGGGAAAGAAATGGGTGACCCACTCTAGAACGTGACCACACGTCATAAGAAGTATATATTTAGGATAAACGTAGATCAGTGGTCATTCATTTTACTTTGTAGTAAAACAGACCAGGGGTTTTTCAGCAAGTTTTTTAAAGGATTTTGTCTTTATAATAATAATTAAAATAAATAACGTACCTTTAACAAAAATGCTTTTGTATTAGAACATTCTAGATCAGCCAACACAACGATATGATGTAGAAAACGCTCCGTTTTATTTCTCTGCATTGAGTATGCAATGTTAATGCCATTCTCTGCCATCATTTTACTCATTGAAATAATTTTATCTACAAAAATATTCAATCAATTATAACAACTAATTACACTGAAGATTTATTTGTATTTTGCTTTTTTAGATTTTCTAAAATTTGATCCACTTTTGATAATAAGCGTACCTATACATGTTACTTAGTGCATCTTAAAATAATCATCGTCATCATACCAATCTTTAAATGTTTTGTATAACATATTATTTATTGCCATTTATTGCCATCACACACAAGCTCAAGAGGTTTAAGTGGTACTAAAAATCCAAAGTTTTTTAATGTATTTGCATGTTAATTAAATAAATAATAAAAATTATTTCAGCCTTTAACTGTCCACTGCTTGACATAAACCTCTCCCTTGGGAGGTTTTGCTAGTAGTTGCAAAGCTTGGCAGGCAGATTGGCAATCGCAGTTAGGTTTTAGGAATGTTTTAAGAGAGACGTTGCTGCCCATCCCTCGCTCTCTCTTAGTCGTCTTTTACGGCACCCATGGGAAAGGAAGGGGTGGCCTATTCTATGCCGGGATCACGCGGCATCTTAAAATTCCCTGGGAATTATTACAATTATTTTATCTTACCTTCATGAAAGTATCACCTTAAGGAAAATTTTAATTTTTCTATTCCTAAAAAGTGACGCTTGCATCTTGCATTTAGGAATTCTGATTAATCCTTATTAATATTATAAATGTTAATGCGAATTTGTTGCTTTGTTACCTATCTCATAATGCACTAAAGGCTCAACCAATCTGAATGTAAATTGGTATACACTTGCCACGTGGAATGGAGAAGGATGTAGGCTAATTTTTATCCCGATCAGTAAATCTCAGTCACGTGGATAAAGTCGCGAGTAAAACCTAGTATTCTATAAATATGTAACCTTTCTATAGATCGTCAGGATTCGAACCCGAAACACTCAACCGTTTCGGATCTAATATGTTGCCAGTTACATCTTTGATCGAATACTTTTAGATGCCAAATTTCTCAGCCATTGTACAAACATTTCGTAACAAACTGTAAACCTAATATTTATACAATATTTTATTTTACATTAAATTTTCACTACTTCGTACCCGCAGATTTCAGAAGTAGGAAAATCAAAAAGAGACCTGTTCTAGGTAACGAATTAAGAAGAAATATTTATCAGATTTTAAGTTAGACTTTCAGACATACATCTATGAAAACAGCATCCATTTTTGTGCAGTAGCTTTTGCATATTACCGGAATTAACATACAGATAAACAAAATTTTTAAAATATATTGTTTTAATAGTACATTTCAGATATTTAGTTTTCTTAAATATTTCCCACCTATAGATATTGTCTCCTTACAATTTTATTATTTATTATTAAAAAGATAACTTACGTCTAGTCCAGCATAGATTTGGTATTAACAATGACGTCGGCCTATCATCGAGTTTTAAAAATGAAATTAACATATTATTAATATTGCTATTTAAACCATTTATTGACTTACAACTCAGTAACATAATTGTAACAATTATTTTTATCTTGAACATCTTCGATATGTTCTTATGTGATTCAACTGCAGTCTACCTTATAGCATCGAAGAAATCATTACCTTTGCGTGAGCTTGTGATATTAAAAAAACATTAGAAGTGTTTACTGAAATTTATAGGAATAATGTAAACATAAGTAGTATTAAATATAATAAAATTGTAATAAAACGAGATCTGTACGTGGAAGTTTTTTTTTTTTTTTTATACAGATGTTTAAGGGAAAATTGTATGATATGAAATTATAATGATAGAAATTTCGTCCGTCTGTTTGTTCCGGCATCACGCAATAACTACCGAATAAGAATGAGAATGGGCAGCAGCGTCCCTCTTAAAACATCACTAAAAGTCTAACTGCAGTTGTTAATTTTTTTCTTTTATACAACTTAGAATGGCAAACAAGCTAACGTCCCACCTGATGGAAAGTGGTAACCGTCGCCTATAGATATGAGCAGTACTATGGACATAACAGAGTATATTGTTTCGCCCATGATACCCCCCCATGCGTTGCCATTCCTGAGGGCTCAGGTGTTATTCCTCTGTACCCAGTAAATTCACGCAATAGTATCACACCCTTCAAACCGAAACACAGCCATGCAAACACAGCTGCTTCACGGTTGAAACACGAATGGGACAGAGGTACCCAAGCAATCGACTTTTGTACAAAGTCTCCCTCTGGTGTGTCAAGCAATAACAAAAATAGGGATAATGTATAATTTTCAAATACAGAATAATGACAATTTAACGATGTATTTACATATTAAAAGTCCATTACGTGTCTATGGAACATAATCGTACTTGGGTTAACGTTAGGTATGACAAGATGGCCTTCTAAAGCTTCTAACATTATTATGGTTTTATTATCAGAAAAATAATCTCTTATATCTAGTAACGGATCAGGATACGGGAAAGGAATATAGTAATATAGTAAAGGAGGCTGGCAGCCTTTTATTATATATGTTTGTTTAAAATTTAATATAATTTGATACATACATATAAAGTAGGCATCTACATAAAAGGACTCGTCTTAAATAGCTAGATATCAAGACGTTAGGTAACATATTTCGTAATAAATATCTATACACAATGAAATAATCCTTTGGCCATACGCAGTTAATAAATAAAACAAGCCATGTAAATTACTAGGGAACGCGTTTATTTTTCAATTAGATACATTGTATTGTGTGCAAAATATGTCTAGACTAGAGTTTAAGTGAACGTGATAAAATTAGATATTAGTTGACAATACGTACGTGTCAGGACATCAATCATTTTGCCTTCTTTAGGTATATTTACTTTAATAATACCTCGTAATAACGTAATAGGACTGAACGATAATTACGTAAGTCGAATTTGTGTACAAATGGTCTAAAGCATGCAAAATCATTATTGCCTAGCTACAAGTTATTATACTTAACGTTACATCAATTATTCATTCGATTAATAATAATAAAATCATAATAGTATGTTAAAAATGAATCAGTAACAATACTTTTAATTCAATTCAATGTCAATGCTATTTAATAATAAAGAACAAATTATGCCATTCTGTAAATAATATAATATAATATTTATGTAAGTGTTACTTAATATTTTCGAGTCTAGGTTAATAATATCGTTCAATTATATCAATAAAGACGAGATTTGAAGATTGCGTAATTTTGGGTTCGTGTAGGTAAGGCGTAAGGGCCGCGTAAGTCGAGGTATTATATGTTATATATATATATATATATATATATATATATATATATATATATATATATATATATATACCTCGTAAATAATTACATATATTACAGGGTCTACATATATAATGAGGGCACTTTAGAAACTCTTGTCATCAGAGGGTGATATCCTCACAGGGATAGTAACAGTAGTAAAGTTACGCTGCTTAAAAGTGGCTATACATTTTTAAAAGGTCAGATTGGTGACACTTTTCGTGGTGTAACTCCTTACCAACAATAATTCAATAAGATATTTATAAAAAAAGATCGACTTTAATCAATCAACAGTCAGACCAATTATTTTGAATAAAAAATTAAACTAATGTACCAATATTGATAAAATTCCTCTAGGATCAATCTGAAAGCATATCCTGTTAGAAAAAAATAATTTTCCAACTCGGTATATTAATAACGGAGTGATGAAGTAACAAATAAAAAAATACAACCTGTTTTTATTGTATTATATATTCAATTTTTTACTGGGTATTATTGAGTTTATGTTTAGCTGTATGGTTATTACCCTTGTACATTCTACAGTTTTCTTTCAGCTTCTCAAAGGTTGACTGTGAGAGATCCCTTTATGGGATAAGTCCGCCATTGTGTATTAAATCTGTTAATGTATTCACTATAAATTATGTACAATAAAGATTTAACAGTACAATACAATACAACCGAATTGAGGACCTTCCTACTTTTATGGAGTCAATTAAAAAAGTGGATTTGTTTTCTTGGCGCCTATCAATATGATATTTTGCATATAATTATTGGAAATCTTTAAGGCAATGTTGATCATTATTGGATTATTTTATTACATTTGTTACAAGTGATTATTCTAATTTGGTGATATTATTGTTTAAAATATAGCTCTTCTTGTCTTTTAATCTCAATCATTATCTTCTATATTGGACACGTTAGCTGTGGAGATGAAGGATTCAGTATTATTATAATTGTCTTCAGGATTTACTGATTTCTGCTTCTTTTGTTGTCTTATTTTCATTCTGAAAAAAATATAGTCTCCATTGGTAAGCGTTCGCGAATTCTGTTTCAACGGTTATGAAATTATATATTTTCTATCTATATCAGTACCTATTATTGAATTTAGTCTAAAACTATATTAACCATCATAAATACTTAACATAAATATATTATTAAACAATTAATGTTAATAACAAATTATTTTTTTCAACCGTGAAACATTTGTGTTTGCATGGCTGTGTTTCGGTTTGAAGGGTGGGATATGGCGTGAATTTACTGGGTACAGAGGAATAACACCTCAGTCCTCAGGAATGGCAACGCACGGGGGGAATCATGGGCGAAACAATATACTCTGTTATGTCCATGGTACTGCTCATGTCTATAGGCGATGGTTACCACTTCCTATCAGGTGGGCCGTCAGCTTGTTTGCCATTCTAAGTTGTATAAAAAAAATCATAAAAGATTTATTTTATCAGAAGGAGGTATTGATTAAAAATCACGAGATACATACCCTGTCTGTCCTTTATAATATTCTTAATGATCCCAGTTGTCTTACTTATCTTCGTTCCCGGTTCCAATTGTTACTTCCTACTTCCAGACCTAGGTGTCTATGCTTAAACCAATATAGGGTACTGAAGCTTCCCAGCTCTAAAACTCATTTTATGGGTTTGCATTTGCATTCCATGATGCACAGCTGTGCTAATATTAGGAATTACTGAATACTCGTTACTTAAATGTACATTTGAAATATCTACTAAAGTGTGAATACATAATATTGTTTTACAAATTTTTTATAGAGGTAGAATTCATTTGTATTTATACGAGGGATGGCAGTTGACTGTTGAACTAGTTTTGTCAATTTGATTGCTCTGCCGTTGCAACTACCATCTAATACTATAACAATAGTTCTAATTATATTTTAAAATAGTGATAATGTAACTTATTCAAGATCAATATAATTATTCTCGGGATAAATCGTTTTAAGCTTTCTTTGTTTTCTTGCTTTCATCCTGAAACAAATTATAATTATGAAATGATTTATTTATGGTGACTTAAATGGAGATAAACTCACGTATGTTCGAATATTATATATTAGTATGGTCTTTAAAAGCAGAGACCGAAATCGACTTCATAAAAATGTAGTTGATTTTAGTCTCATTATGATTAGATATCAAATATTGTATTAAGGCCAGATTATTAGTTTATTTGTTTCTAAAAAGAAACTTACAATTTGCAATAAGCAATCTCCACTAAGAGCACAGCGGGCGCCATCAGCATGCCGTACAGTGTGGCCAACATAGCGGGGTACATATCACCGATGCCAATACTGCTAAACGTGGCTACTTGGCCGGAACAGCGCGGCCGGGGTATAACTAGACGCTGGCGATTATTGGATTGGATACCCGTTTCGCGAATCCTTATAAAGCTGTAGAAAATTAATTTAATATATAAATTAAATAATTATATGGTTCCCAAGTACGGTTGTATGATTTTACCACCAAAGCCAACTCCTTAAACCAAAAGGCTATACCGAATTCTTTTAGAAAACCTTTGGTTTTAACTTCTTCCTTAAAGTGAGTTTTCACGAAAGAAAATTCCTTTAGAAACTATGCACGCACTGTATATAATAATTTTGAGTCCAAGACCCTCGAAGGCGATCGATTCTATTCTTGGATATGGAGATGCGTATAATTTATTTTTTTATTTATTTATTTATTTATTTTTAGATAACTGGGATCCATTCTTGTTAGTAAGTGTACTTAAAAACTATGTTAATACTTAATTACTAATAATGATCTAGTCCTCTCGGAGAGCATTTTCACGAGAGGACTATCCAATTTATTAACAAACATGTTCAGGATACTGTTGCTACTCCCGCGTATTCGACGTAAAAACGAAGCTGTCTTTTTTCGCCAGACTGCGTCAAAACTATCTGTGCGAGCGTCGGCAAACATCGCTGAGGCGCTACAGAAGCGCGGAAGCCGCAACAGTAACCTGAAACTATTATTAAATTGGATACGCAAGGCATTGCAGGCCCCCCGAGTATACTGGAACCACTGACTCGCCGAATACAACGATGTACAATACGCTTTAAATAGTGTTATTTTCACTGCATCTGTACATCGCGCAAATCGGCGGGACAACATATTGGCTCGGACCGACAAAGCCCTACGCTCCCTCTCCATATCTACATCGTCTCTAAGGCTGGTGGTCACCAGGTGACCAAGGTATTTAAATTGATGCACTCTTCTAATTGGAACACTATCCAACATAATAGGAGTTATATATGTTGGACACCTGGTACCCGCCTTAAAGACCATGTACTCAGTTTTCTTTACATTGTATATCAAACCGTGTGAAATAGCATACGACTCGCACACAGCGAGCAGTTTTCTTAATGCACTAACCGAGGGAGCCAGCAACACCATGTCATCAGCATAGCTTATTAACAAAAGCTAGCCATGATTTCTACATAAAGCAATTAACAATTCAATATAACTTTTTGTGTTACTGTGTGACAAAACAAAAATATTTTTTTATATTTTATATTATAATATACAAATACGCCCAATTATACAAGAATTTAATTAATAAACTGTCTTACTTGGTTTTGAACAAGTCTTTGAAAGGAGACTTCTTCTGGCCGATCAGCCAAGGATCTATTAAATTAAAATAGTTTATCTCCATCAAATCACATTTCTCGTTCTCTTGAAACGTCTCTTGTATCAAACGGTACCCTGGATTTACTTCTACGTGAAATGCGAAGAGACCCTGAACATAACATAAATAATGCCTTTGTTGTTATTAGTAATAAATAATTATTATAATTACCATGTATTAAACAATATTAGAATGAATTGTCCATTATGAGCTTTGTCAATTTGTCCATTTCTGTAAAGAATATTTACTGATGTTTCAATCAATTTGTATTTTTATTATATAATTGCTAATTACCCATATTGAAATTGTTGCATGTTCGATAAGAGACTGATGTTGATACTGATGCCAAGCCAAGCAATGTTTACTGTTGTATGAGTATGTACACAGGCAGCAATAAGATTGTATTTTATTCCTATTTTATTTATATTCTATTCTTTTCCAATTTCAAATTAATTCCTATTCTATTTCTATACTATTCCTCTTCTACTCCTATTCTATTCCTATTCCATTCCTATTCTATTTCTATTCTATTCCTATTATATTCCTATTCTACTCCTATTCTATTCCTATTCTATTTCTATTCTATTCCTATTTTATTCCTATTCTACTCCTATTCTATTCCTATTCCATTCCTATTCTATTTCTATTCTATTCCTATTTTATTGCTATTCCATTCCTATTCTATTTCTATACTATTCCTCTTCTACTTCTATTCTATTCCTCTTCTACTTCTATTCTATTCCTATTCTATTTCTATTCTATTCCTATTTTATTCCTATTCCATTCCTATTCTATTTCTATACTATTTCTCTTCTATTCCTAATCTATTCCTATTATATGTTTTCTCCCACGAACACTCAGGTTATGGAATGAGCTCCCTGCCGAGGTTTTCCCAAGAGACTAAAGCATGGGGCTCTTCAAAAGGGGGGTAAAGAGGTTTCTTCAGGGTCGGTAACGCGCGCGTAATACCTCTGGTATTTCAGGCGTTCATAGGCTACGGTAACCGCTTACCATCAGGTGGGCCGTATGCTTGTTTGCCACCTCAGTGGTATAAAAAGATATACTATTCTATTCTATTTATCGAATACTTGCCTTTCTAATTTTCTCTACTCCATCTTCCATATTGTAAAAATTAGGTTTCTTCCCTTTAGGCGCTATTTTTGTATCGTATATAGCTTTCCGTAGCGAGTCGTTCAATTGCTGAAATTATTGGATTACTTCAATATCTGGTTAATTAGAGCTCTATCTTGTGATAAAATTTATTCTATTGTTAGTTAATTATCTTAATACTGAGAACAAAATCACGTTATAGAAAATCAAATGAAGAGTACAAATCTAAGGCTTGGTTCGTTGTTTAGTACAATATATTGTAGATTTAATAATTTAAATTGCACTATTTAGATTAAAAAATACCTGAACTAGTGGAATACATTAAATAACTACGTATATTTTTAGTATTATGTTATTTATTATTATTTGACGATCTGTGTGGTGTAGTGGCGAGTGCGTCGTTTTGTAGAAAAGAGTCTCCGAGTTCAATTACAGGGCTGGCCAATTTAATAAGCGAACTTTCTCGAATTGGCTTAAACTGGGTATTCTGGGTTGCGACCCCAGATGTCCATGTCCGGTTCCCCATAATACTCGTAACTGCATCAGCACCAGGCGTTTAGTGTGATTGTGTGGCAATTATGAATTATTATTTGCTGGAAAAATCTTTAACAAAGTTTTTATTGTCAATTATCTTATTGCCCGTTACTTCGTACGCGTGGGTTCTAAATGGACTTTTGAGAATACTACTGCGAAAATCGCACCCAATTAGATGCAGTAGTTTTTACGTGACGCCGTTACAAACGTACAGACCGAAAACAATATTTTAAAATTATTATTTCGGTTCTATTGAGTTAATAAAGATTCTTCATATTATTTTTTCTTAAATATCTCCAATGTACAGACATCGTCTAGTTACAATTTTATTATGTTAGTAAGATGTATCTATTTTTGTTAATATCTATTAGCTTACTTAATATAAATACTTACTTTGAAGAAATATCTATTATATACAACATCACTAGCTCCTAGTTCAATAGGCGAGTTGAGAAGGTCAGATAAAGTTCTCACTGAGGAACTGGGGGCTCTCAGCAGTACCACAATGTTAGCTGAATACGCTGCGTACAGGATTGTCAGAGCTATGAAGAGTAAGAGGGTTACAGCTCTACCTGGAAAATTATATGATAAACATCAAATAACTATTAAAGTTTTAAACTTTCTAGCATAAGTACATGAAGACGTTTTTTATGCAACTTGGAATGGCAAACAAGCTGTCAATTCACATGATGGCAAATGGTAACCATTGCCTATACATATAAAAAGCACCATGGATATCCTAGAATAAACTATAATGGCCATGGTACCTCTTATTCCATTGCCATTCATGAGAATTATGATGTTATGCCTGTACTCTGCAATTTGCATTATCATATCTCGTGTAGTCCCGGCATAGAATGAACCATCTTTCCTTTCTCATAGGTATCATAAGAGGCGACTAAGAAAACTAAATGATCAAAGGATGGGCAGCAGCGTCCTTCTTAAAACTAATCTAACGCCTAAAGCCTAACTGCGATTGCCAACCCGCCTGCCAAGCGTGGCAATACTTCCCAATACGTAGAGACCTATGTTAAGCAGTGGACAGTAAAAAGCTGATATGATGATAAAGATTCCAACCGTCCACCAAACTGTACAACCATGCAAATAAACGTAGTTGCTTGACAATAGTAACAGAAGTGTGTACATATAAAAATCTCATTGCTTTTGGCTTAACTAAGTTTTGTTGTTGTAGTTGAATTAACAACATATATGAATAATAAATCTTTTTCTTTTTTCTATACTTATGTAAAAAATAATGTTTACCAGAAGCGTATCGTGGTTCCAGAGTGCAGCCTTGTTGTAAAACTGCTCCTATGATTAATATCAGGACATCAGCCCACGAGCCGTCCAGTTGAAATTGGTTCTGAAATTATTATGCAAAATAAATAAGAGTAAAAACAGTACTAGACTTCTCCAAGTCCAAGGAACGCCATGGAGGCATAACATTGCTTTGACTTCTCCAATTTTCAATTATTTTTTACAAATTTTATAGACATAAGGAAATATAGCTTACCAGAGACACCGTGGCTTCCCATTTAGAAGTAATGTATAAAAACAGGGCACATCCCAAAACACAAATTAAAATGGCCAGCCAAACATCCCTCGTGAAAGGTAGTGTGAAGATATTGGAGACATACGAGAGAGGGGGTTCCCGGAAGACAAACTTGACGCCTGTTGATCCCACCATGGCTATGTAGTCGATAACGTCCAAGCGATCTGTTGTAAGGAATGCCATGGTACCTATATGAGAAAAAAAAATATTGAATAGAAGTATTGTAATTAGAATATGTTGAAGAATGAGAATACCAGAAACGATTCTTAATTTAAAGATAATAAGTCATATCTCCTACTTCGTCCACGTGACCAGGATTTGTTTACTGATCAAGATAAAAAGTTTCAGGTATATTGTGTTTAAAATATAAATTGTTTACGTATAAAAACTTTTTAACATTGGATTACTCGCTATCGAAAGCGGATGAGATATGTAAGATCTACCCAATAAAAACTACATGATACACCTCAAAGTGTCACTTACTAGAACTACGGATTCGCGTTTGTGTTAGAACACAAACCATGTCTTCGATGGCGATGGTATTAGATGCCATTTTTCTTCTGGTTAGTTACAGCGACGTGCGACTATCAACACTTGATGACTGACTACTATTATTATTGCTATAAGTTCTACAACCTTCCATATTAGCCATCATTCTCCGACCACGCACGTGCCGTGTTTTCTATGCGAGGCCTGAAACTTTATCTCACATATCTTTTCTTTCTCGTTTCTCGACCTATATCGATTAAAAAAATCATCTATATTTGCTGCGTGGTCCCGACATAGAGTGGGCCATCCCGTCCTTTCTTGTATATGTCGTAAGAGGTAACTAAGGAAACATAATGGACGAGAAATGGGTAATAGCCCTCTTAAAACATCACCAAAGCCTAACCCGGCTGCCAGCGTAGCAACTACTGGCTAAACTTCCCTTATGTGGAGGCCTATGTTAAGCAATGAACAGATATCGGCTAATATGATAACGATGATATGTATTATAAGTATATATTACCTTTTTTTTATATATCCTGGCCACGCGGACTAAATCGCCGGAAAAAGCTAGTAAAAGAATAAAGAAGAATACCTAAATCAGCATCTTTCTTCAGCAGATATTCAATGAGTCCATTATAGTTGCCACTTTTATCTTTATACCCCCAAGTGGAGGTATACAGAAGTCGTTCTGTAGCATTTAGCATCTGAAAACATATCTTCACGATAACGTACGACATCTTCGTTACCAAATCTTGATGAAGTAACCTAAAACATAAAAAAATGTCGTGAGGTAGTTACGATGACTAAAGATTAGATACCGCGAGATTGGCTATTTTCTGTGTGTCTTCTTTGCTATTGTAAATGATATCATCTTCATTATTATAAGAGTAATCTATCGACTAACGATTATCAAAGAGATCCTTCGAAAGAAAGAAAAAATAAGTCTTTTATTCTATTTTTAATTAAAATCGAATTCTGAAAGGAGATTTATCAATTCGTCTATTTGTTTTTCTGGATATGTTACTCGTTGTGATTTTAGTAATTTATTACCAAGATTACTCCATAATAATTTGCTGATCCCTCGAAGCTATACATTTTACTAGCAAAAAATGTCTTGTTGCGGTACAAAACCATTTATAAGTGAACACACAATTGTGACTTCTAAGTAACATACTACACGATGACTATTGAAACAAGTCGATTTGAATAAAAAATATTTGATTTTGAATTAAAACAATATTTTCAATTTCATGTGTTTATGAAACAACTTTTTGATCATCAGTGTTCAGAGATTTCATACTGATCACAGTTGCTATTTTTTGGAGAGCAAAATGTACTAAGTACAAGTAGATTTTGTAAAATAAAATTCTAAAAACATATTCAACTTTATGCAACAAAATTGCTGTGTAGGTTCTGGCATAGAATAGGCCGCTTCCTTTCCAATGAGTGTCGTAAGTAGTGACTAAGGGAGCTTATGGTGGAGGGACGGGTAGCAGCGTGCCTCTTAAAACATTACCAAAAGTCAAATTGCACTTGCCAATCCGTCTGCCAATCGGGGCAGCTACAGGCAAAACCCTCATTTTAAGGAAGGCTATGTTCAGCAGTGAATAGTTAATGGTTGATACTACAATAAATTTAACTTACAATCTATCGTCTAAATGTTCTCTCGTTTCATTACTGTCGGTGATCACATTACCCATTGTAAGCACATGCCCTCTCAAATCTTTTCGTCTGAAAGACAACGATGTGGATCCTCTGTAATCTTCTGTGATGCCATGCTTAGTGTCTACTATTCTTGTGTTTAACGTGTTCCTTTCGTTATCTTCAGATATAGCGAAGTTAGTATTATTACTATGTGCTTTAAGATAATTATTATGTTTACTATTGATGGGACGCCATATAGCTCTCGTCGTGTAAATCAGTTCTGTATTTTTGGCTATCTTGTAAACTGTAACAAGAATAAGGAAATTTGAATATTTTTATGTTACTTTAAATACCTTAAATACCTGCTTTCGACGTGGTACAATCCATCTCGAAAAGTCGGCAATAATGATGCAGGTCTGTAGGTATTATTTAAAAAAATATTTTATCCCGTTAATCCCCAATAGTGTATTTGAAATATGTGTAAACAATGCGAAATTTCATAATTACCTATATTGTGTCTTAAAATAACACCAGTAATATTTTAAAGTAATTAATTAATTATCTTCTTCTACTCCTTTTCAATCTCAGCATCCCGTAAAAGGCGAATGAGTAATCCAAACACAGTGTAGCTACCAGTAGAACAGAATGGAAACTCTTTTTTAACTTATATTTAAACATACAGTAGAATCTCGATTATCCGAACATCGATTATCCAAATATTTGATTATCTAGACAAGACAGGACGATTTGGATCCTATAGAGTTGTCGACTTAAGCGTATCAGGAACTTAGACGTAATAAAAAGTGATTCAATACGTTTATTTCCTTAACTAATTATTTCCAACCAAAATTTTAAATTACATAGGTATTATGTAATCCATTATCTTTATAGCTCGTGACTTTTCTTATATCGTATTGTTTTTGTAGAAATATTTTATATCTTTACAAGTAAATAAATTAGTTTAATATTTTAATAAGATTATAGTAAGATCTTAATTTAATATTTTACTACACAAAAAAAGATATATCAATACGGGAGCATAGATAATATAGTAGCTATCCCTTTATTTGCAAAAAATAACATTTTTTTTAATTTAGGTGCCGAACGGTTAACATTAGGATCCGAGCAGCGATCTATTAATTTGCCTGAAGATATCTTGTTTAGAGGTGAAACATGTGTCGCAAAATGTGCGTGAACAAAATGGCAGTCGGTGATTGATAGTTATAATAGAAAATTGTGAAACTTATTCATCAGGTTACTAACAAGAATTAATAAAAAGTATCTCTTCAGGAAATCCTGCTTTGAAACTTTAATGATTTATTTCACTAATCAATACGTTACCCTCAGTAAATATGTATCCATAGTCGTTTCTCTCAGCAATCACCACGTCACTATCCACCAATATTTCCAGATTGTTTAAAACCTCAAGATTCCTGTTAAAGTCATCAGGTGCTAACAGCAGCCAACGGTATGGTGATTTGAAATAGCCCTCCTCACTGGCCTGGTTGAATTAAATTGAAGAAAATTAGTAAATTTTACGGCGTTAGGCTCGCCGCCTGACTGGCTGGACTCTAATATGGGCTGGCGTTAAATTGGAGGCAAAGAGATTGTTAATAATGAGTAGTAACGACCCTGTTGCGGGGGAAAAGGGATTGTTAGTAATGGGGCTAATGGTCCTATTTCTAGCAATATACCCTATCAGGTCGACCTCACCCGGTTTCCCCTGGAAATAATAAATTTTGTTTAAATTATCACAGTGGGCCAACTTCTCTGCTTTCATCCTCACTTATCATCTCTCTCTAGACAGTCAGTGTATACCGGTAGCGCAGTAGGGGTTACCATGCCATTTTTACTCATAGAAAAAACGACTTCGTTGCTAGTAATAACCCTACCAGGTTGACCTTTGTGTGGTCCCCCCTGTAAACTATCGTGGTTAATTCTAGATGAATTTATAACGATAGGCTAACTAACCTATTTTAAATACTCACTTATCGTCACCCTCGCCAGTGTATATCAATAGCACAGACAAAGTTACTACTTCATTTTCTTCAATTAAAAAAAACGTTTACATACAGTCATGTTCATCATAATGGAAATAGTCGATGTATGCTTCTAAATACTAAGCAAAATAAAAGCCATGAATATTGTTTTTTCACATGTTACTTACTAGAGTTTACTTTCAATTTCTTTCATGCAATTGTACAAATACGTCTTTTTACTTGCATACATTTTTTATGAATATAAATGTATAAAAATTTCATAATGATTAGATGAGTTATCAAAGTAACAAATTTATTTTTACATTTCTAACATTTTTTTTTATAAACTGGAATTTAAATTGTACACCAATTTATGTTAACGGTATGCGGTGACGTGGTACCAGTGAACGATAAGGTTGAGGTCAGGTCGATTGGCCTATTCAGTCAGTTGGCTCATTTGCTAAGTGGTTTTCAGGAGAGACTGTGTGAGAGGTCGATCTCCTTTGTACACTGCTAGTATAAGCTATATGTTTGCCACCAAAGTAGTATAAAAAATATGTACAGCCTTTCCTTCTACATTTATAACATCATAGTAAGCATAAATACCTTCAACAAAAACCCTTTAGCATCAGGGCAATCCAAATCAGCGAACACAACGATATACTGTAGAAAGTACTCCGTCCTATTTCTCTGCAGTGAGGAAGCGACGCTGATGCTGTTCTCAACCATCGATCGAGCCATTGACGTCATCTGATCTGCGAAATCGATCGACAATAAAAATCTGCAGTAAATGCACGGAAGATATATTTTTAGATGTTTTTCAAGAATTTTTGAGGCGAAAATAGAAGGATAGTTATAACAAATTTATTATTTTGTTTTTATAGCATTTTTTGTTGTGGCCTACTAAACTAACTTGTCTAATAAAGTTGAGATATTCAGTTCCATTTTGGTTGACACTTTAAAAGTGGTTGATAATTCTGAACTTCCTTCTAACTATATTTTATTAAGAATGGTAAAGAAGTTGGTTACAAGATCACATATTTTAAGACTTTAAAAATAAATACATTGCTGTCGGAACAATTAATAAAAACTACACATGAACGTATATTTTACGACGTACTGACGATGGCATTTTCGGTAGCAAAGAATATTAAAAATTATCTATCGTAATATAGACACCAAAACAACAACACTTATGGTGGAATTGAGAAATATGGAGGGTATTTACAATGTATGTTGTCCTTGAAAAAGAGAAATTTAAAGTTAAGCAAAAATTTATTATAAACGCTCATGCTTTTCGTTTTTGTAACTTCATCCAAATTCACCAAAAATGTATTTAAAAAAGGATTATATTGTCAACAAGAATGAAAAATCTAAAAAAACGAATTATGGCCTAATAATGAAATATTGTAATTAGTAATTCCTTAATACAACTTGTTAAGTTTATTAATAGTATAGATTAATAACTAAGTCTTCACTCGTTATATAGTCGTTACCATGGTATAAATAAATACTTACCAGTGAGAGCTGTATACGCCACTAATTGATATATTCATGCAGCCTTCAGCCTAATAATAGTATTATGTCTATTATATTGAATTGTTGTAAAAGATGATATTATATTTTGATTTGTTTATAACGAATAAACTCAAAAATTACTGGACTATTTAAAAATTTCTTTCATCGTTAGAACACTACATAATTCTTGAGTAACATAGGTTGACTGGTAGAGAACAGCATTAGGTGTTAAAAGAATTAAACTTCAATGCATAATCGTTTGATTATGCATTGAAGTTTAAATAAGTAAATAAATGATTTTCAAAAAAAATATCTACCCGTATGAAATCGGGCCGGATCACTTGTCTTATATCAATAAATAAAGATGGTAACTTACATCTGGTCCAGCATGGATTAGGTATTAACAAAGACGTGGGTCTGTCATCGAGTTTTAAAAACGATACCATCATGTTGACCACATTATTGTTCAAACAATTCGTTAGCCTAAAACATACAAATAAAATATAAATAATTGTTTTTGGTTTAAACATTTTTAATATTTCTGTTCATAAATCAACACTAGCTAGTATCGAGATATAATGTAAAGGACTTTTGAAATAATTTATTTTGCTTCTCGTTGATATTATAAATGTATATATTTTTATAATCGAAATACTAATTCGAGTGTGTGTACTTATCAGACATATCAAGTACAGTCGTAAAGTTAAATCATTGGAATTTTGACAATATCATATTAAACTATTTCACTTTTTTTTTTATAACACAGCTATTAAACGATTATGCGGTTAATGGTAAGTGACTATCGCCGCCCATAAGCACCTGCAACATCGGAGGCATTGCAGGTGTGCTGCCGACACAAGAAGGAGTATGATTTTTTTCTTGAAGTTTACGAACATATCGGTTTGGAAATACTTTAACTGGAAAACTGATTTCAAAGCGTGGTTGTATGTGGAAGCAAGTGCATTGGAACTTTAATTTGTGGCGAGTTGTACGACGGTGAAATTAGCAGCAGGTATCAATCCTAACGATTCCTTAGATCATTCCCCATGGTACATAAAACCAGTGAACCGATTTTGATAAAATTTCTATGGGATCAATTGGATAGTGGGATAATGGGATGATATTATATTTTTTTAGATAAAAGAACAAATTTCCATAACGGTTTATAAACGACGGCGACAGACATAAAAAAAATGGAACCAAATACAACCTTTTTTGAAATCGGTTGAAATGTATTTATTGTCAAAGAAAGTTTGTATAAGTCCAACTGAGTCTAGTAGAGATCGATGATCGACATTTGTATTTTTATTTTTACTTTTTTTAATATTTAGTTTACTAATTTTTATAAATTTGTTTTGATCATAAATGTACTGCTTCGTCGAGTTAATGTATAAATTATATTAAGTTCGGTAAGCAAGAGTAATGACATGTTTAGTGATTCTGAACCTACTATTTATGAGCTAGTCACCGCCCATAAACATTTTTTGTAACTGATTACGCCTATTTAACAATTGTCATTTATTATGTAAATTATGACTCTTTTTAAAACTAAATATAAAATTACTATGGTTAGAAGACATTTAAAGTGCTTTCTATCTTCCACCCAATACTGGTGGCTACTCTTTAATTTAACAAAAACAACTTTATGAATTAAAATTTCCAAACAACTTTCTAATGATAACAAATCAAATTAATATGAACCAAGATATTAAGTTCATACAAAGCAATTAACAATAAATAAATATAAATTTGTGTGTACCTTTGTGACAAAACAAAATGAAATTCTTATATTTTTACATCTTTGCCAAGCAATATAGACACCTAATTAATAAACTGTCTTACTTGATTTTGAACAAGTCTTTGAAAGGAGACCTCTTCTTGCTAAATTTATATATATTTTCCTAGACCAAATCTCATTTTTCGTTCTCTTGATACTCTCTCTCTCTCTTGTTTTTGTTGGAGAGTACCAGTTCTTGTATGGCTGTGTTGTGATTTTTTACGGCTATAAAAATTACAAGGTACGCATATATGTATAATGTCAAATTCTTTGGAATAGCATTAAAGTACCAAAGAGATTACAAGAATATTTTATGATGACATTATTGTGCTGTTTATGTCTTTATGTAACGGTTACTATTTTCCATCAGCAGGCTATCAGCCAGTCTTTATCTCAAAGACATATAGAAATAATAATTTAATTTTTAGACATCTAATAAATATTTTACGAAGTTTTTAGTCATGGAAAGGAACATTTGTACAGTAAGTACTCCTCCAAATATTTTTGATTTTTTTTTTCAAAATGTAGATAATGCTCGTAGTTAATAGAAGCAGACTAGAACCCAAACAACGAGTCTCAAATATACGAGTATAGTACTGGGCCTTCCCTATTTACCATTGTATTTAAATTGAACGATTGGTGTCAATAGTTATAACACGACAAAAATAGAATCATAAAAGATTATTAATCAACGCCTTACTGTCCGACTTGACCCACTGAAACTGCGTAGAGATGTTGCATCTCTGTGCATCTTCTACCGAATTTATCATGAAGAGTGTTCTGAAGAATTGTTCGGATTGATACCTGCTGCTGATTTTCACCACCGTACAACCCGCCATAAACTAAAGTTCCATTCCAATCATCTGGACGAGTGGCGGTCTTCCACTGTGCGTTTTTCAAGGCACTTTCTTCCACGCACAACCATTCTTTGGAATCAACTTCCAGCAACAGAATTCCCGAACCGATACGACAACATAACCTTCAAGAAAAGAGTATATTCCTTTTTAAAAGGCCGGCAGCACACCTGCAATGCTGCTGGTGTTGTGGGTGATCATGGGCGGCGATAGTCACTTACCATCAGGTGAGCCGCATGCTCGCTTGCCCCCTGCGTTGAAAAAAAAAATCATAAAAGATTTATTTCATCAGAGGGAGGGATTATTCATGCGATACATACCCTGTCTGTCCTTTATAATATTCTTAATGATCCCAGTTGTCTTACTTATCTTCGTTCCCGGTTCCAATTGTTACTTCCTACTTCCAGACCTAGGTGTCTATGCTTAAAACAATATAGGGTACAGAAGCTTCCCAGCTATAAAACTCATTTTATTGGTTTGCATTTGCATTCCATGCTGCAAAGCTGTGGAATAAACTTCCCGTAGATAGTCAGAATTGTTCGTAATAAATAATCTTTCTAATTTTGCTTGAATAGTTACTTTATTACTATTATTAATTACAAGACTGTCATCATTGTGTTCTCTTTTATTTGATATGTATAATTGTATTTAACATATATTCTTATTTATCATAATTATATATATATATATATGTATGTATGACACGTATATACTCCTACTGCCTACTCATACTCTCTATGCCCTTGTGTTAGGTTGACTGGAAGAAATCTCTTTTAGAAATAAGTTCGCCTTTGCTGACTTTGTTACTAATTTGTTATTATTACTGTATGTTTTATTGCAATAAAGAGTAGGTATATAATTAAAGTCGTCTTCATGGGTATCTCTGCACTACTGCCGTGAAGCAGCTGTATTTGCACGGTTGTGTTCTCTAGGAGGCTCCCAAATTCGCCTGCTTCTTTTTTATGTAGGTAAGTCACACATGCTAGCCAGTTTTGAACTGGCCATAGGAATTATTTCCGTAATAAATAAAGTTCCTATGTCTCTATACCTATCTAATTCATTAAACTTGTTGAATACTTAAGTAACATACGTTTCTCCCGACATAATCCGCTGAGAACCAAATCTGTTGGTTTCTGCTCGTTTTCGATAACATTTCTTACGAAATTAATCACAGTTTCATTTCTATACTGAACAAGATGTATCATTAGTAATAATATCACTGTTCTATACATATTGATGTCCATTAACGACTTGACGACGAGTGGTTTGTTGTAGAAATATCAACCGTCATTTATATAATAATAACAAATGAATGAAGTATGCCTACACGTCTGGATACGTTAGATACTTATTTTGGTTTATTAAATCTATACAAACTGTACAGTAATATTTTGTTTTTATAACAGATTGTATTAGTCTAATATTAGAAACTCGTTACTTAAATGTACATCTACTAAAGTGTGAATACATAATATTATTTTACAAATTTTTTATAGAGAGAGAATTCATTTGTATTTATACGAGGGATGGCAGTTGACTGTTGAACTAATTGTGTCAATTTGATTGCTCTGCCGTTGCAACTACCATCTAATACTATAACAATAGTTCTAATTATATTTTAAAATAGTGATAATGTAACTTATTCAAGATCAATATAATTGTTCTCGGGATAAATCGTTTTAAGCTTTCTTTGTTTTCTTGCTTTCATCCTGAAACAAATTATAATTATGAAATGATTTACTTATGGTGACTTAAATGGAGATAAACTCACGTATGTTCGAATATTATATATTAGTATGGTCTTTAAAAGAAGAGACCGAAATCGACTTCATAAAAATGTAGTTGATTTTAGTCTCATTATGATTAGATATCAAATATTGTATTAAGGCCAGATTATTAGTTTATTTGTATCTAAAAAGAAACTTACAATTTGCAATAAGCAATCTCCACTAAGAGCACAGCGGGCGCCATCAGCATGCCATACAGTGTGGCCAACATAGCGGGGTACATATCACCGATGCCAATACTGCTAAACGTGGCCACTTGGCCGGAACAGCGCGGTCGGGGTATAACTAGACGCTGGTGATTATTGGATTGGATACCCGTTTCGCGAATCCTTATAAAGCTGTAGAAAATTAATTTAATATATAATTTAAATAATTATATGGTTCCCAAGTACGATTGTATGATTTTACCACCAAAGCCAACTCCTTAAACCAAAAGGCTGTACCGAATTCTTTTAGAAAACCTTTGGTTTTAACTTCTTCCTTAAAGTGAGTTTTCGCGAAAGGAAATTCCTTTAGAAACTATGCACGCACTGTATTTAATAATTTTGAGTCCAAGACCTTTGAAGGCGATCGATTCTATTCTTGGATATGGAGATGCGTATAATGACGATGTGTATGTATAAAATGTCGATTGCTATCAACACAATTTAAAAACAATATTGCTATCCTCTTTCTGTCAAAAATCAACAGGACGTGAAATTTTGTCTCTGTCTAGGGACAGCCAGTGTAATATGTGATATGCATAACGTTCTTCTCCATAGAATTCTCTTCAATTTGTTTACCACTCTCAATAATATCACAGATTAAAGACTTTTTCTCCAAAGATACATCCAGACAGAGCAATGCGTCTTATTATATAATGAGGCACGCAAAAGGTGTTAATCGTCGTTAATCTTACACCTTGCCTAATATAAGATACCTAATCATATATTATGTACAGGGAATACATTTAAAAGTTTGTAAGTAGATAGATAAATAAATAAATTCTTTAATTGCATCTCTGGCACACAACTCACAACGAAATGAATCAAAATAATAGTATTTAAAAAGGATGAAGGTGAGCAAAATCATTGTAATCATGTGTGCGAGACAGTACCACTAATCACTCGTAACTTAGTTTCCACATACAAGTCACAAATTTCCTGCCATAATCAAAAGCTAGCCATGATTTCATCATAAAGCAATTAACATAATTCAACATAAATTTTTGTGTTACTGTGTGACAAAACAAAAATATTTTTTTATATTTTATATTATAATATACAAATATGCCCAGTTATACAAGAATTTAATTAATAAACTCTCTTACTTGATTTTGAACAAGTCTTTGAAAGGAGACTTCTTCTGGCCGGTCAGCCAAGGATCTATTAAATTAAAATAGTTTATCTCCATCAAATCACATTTCTCGTTCTCTTGAAACGTCTCTTGTATCAAACGGTACCCTGGATTTACTTCTACGTGAAATGCGAAGAGACCCTGAACATAACATAAATAATGCCTTTGTTGTTATTAGTAATAAATAATTATTATAATTACCATGTATTAAACAATATTAGAATGAATTGTCCATTATGAGCTTTGTCAGTTTGTCCATTTCTGTAAAGAATATTTACTGATGTTTCAATCAATTTGTATTTATATTATATAATTGCTAATTATCCATATTGAAATTGTTGCATGTTCGATAAGAGAATGATTTGATACTGATGCCAAGCCAAGCAATGTTTACTATTGTATGAATATGTACACAGGCAGCGATAAAATTGTATTTTATTCCTATTTTATTTATATTCTATTCTTTTCCAATTCCAAATTAATTCCTATTCTATTTCTATACTATTCCTCTTCTACTCCTATTCCATTCCTATTCTATTTCTATTCTATTCCTATTCTACTCCTATTCTATTCCTATTCTATTTCTATTCTATTCCTATTTTATTTCTATTCTATTCTATTCCATTCCTATTCTATTTCTATTCTATTTCTATACTATTCCTCTTCTACTCCTATTCTATTCCTATTCTATTTCTATTCTATTTCTATACTATTCCTCTTCTACTCCTATTCTATTCCTATTCCATTCCTATTCTATTTCTATACTATTCCTCTTCTATTCCTAATCTATTCCTATTATATGTTTTCTCCCACGAACACTCAGGTTATGGAATGAGCTCCCTGCCGAGGTTTTCCCAAGAGACTAAAGCATGGGGCTCTTCAAAAGGGGGGTAAAGAGGTTTCTTCAGGGTCGGTAACGCGCGCGTAATACCTCTGGTATTTCAGGCGTTCATAGGCTACGGTAACCGCTTACCATCAGGTGGGCCGTATGCTTGTTTGCCATCTCAGCGGTATAAAAAGATATACTATTCTATTCTATTTATCGAATACTTGCCTTTCTAATTTTCTCTACTCCATCTTCCATATTGTAAAAATTAGGTTTCTTCCCTTTAGGCGCTATTTTTGTATCGTATATAGCTTTCCGTAGCGAGTCGTTCAATTGCTGAAATTATTGGATTACTTCAATATCTGGTTTATTAGAGCTCTATCTTGTGATAAAATTTATTCTATTGTTAGTTAATTATCTTAATACTGAGAACAAAATCACGTTATAGAAAATCAAATGAAGAGTACAAATCTAAGGCTTGGTTCGTTGTTTAGTACAATATATTGTAGACTTAATAATTTAAATTGCACTATTTAGATTAAAAAATACCTGAACTAGTGGAATACATTAAATAACTACGTATATTTTTAGTATTATGTTATTTATTATTATTTGACGATCTGTGTGGTGTAGTGGCGAGTGCGTCGTTTTGTAGAAAAGAGTCTCCGAGTTCAATTACAGGGCTGGCCAATTTAAGAAGCGAACTTTCTCGAATTGGCTTAAACTGTTCCCCATAATACTCGGAACTGCATCAGCACCAGGCGTTTAGTGTGATTGTGTGGCAATTATGATTATTATTTGCTGGAAAAATCTTTAACAAAGTTTTTATTGTCAATTAGCTTATTGTCCGTAACTTCGTACGTGTGGATTTCATAAACAGAAAAATAAATGAAAGAGTTCTAAATGGCGTATCATGATTACTTTAGTTCACAGATTTTAAGTTAGACTTTTGAGAATACTACTGTGAAAACTGCACCCAATTAGATGCAGTAGTTTTTACGCGATGCCATTACAAACGTACAGACCGAAAACAAATTTAAAAATTATTATTTCGGTTCTATTGAGTTAATAAAGATTCTTCATATTATTTTTTCTTAAATATCTCCAATGTACAGACATCGTCTAGTTACAATTTTATTATGTTAGTAAGATGTATCTATTTTTGTTAATATCTATTAGCTCACTTAATATAAATACTTACTTTTAAGAAATATCTATTATATACAACATCACTAGCTCCTAGTTCAATAGGCGAGTTGAGAAGGTCAGATAAAGTTCTCACTGAGGAACTGGGGGCTCTCAGCAGTACCACAATGTTAGCTGAATACGCTGCGTACAGGATTGTCAGAGCTATGAAAAGTAAGAGAGTTACAGCTCTACCTGGAAAATTATATGATAAACATCAAACACGAACACGTTTTTTATGCAACTTGGAATGGCAAACAAGCTGTCAATTCACATGATGGCAAATGGTAACCATTGCCTATACATATAAAAAGCACCATGGATATCATAGAATAAACTATAACGGACATGGTACCTCTTATTCCATTGCCATTCATAAGAATTATGATGTTATGCCTGTACTCTGCAATTTCATTACCATATCTCGTGTAGTCCCGGCATAGAATGAACCATCTTTCCTTTCTCGTAGGTATCGTAAGAGGCGACTAAGGGAACTAAATGATCAAAGGATGGGCAGCAGCGTCCTTCTTAAAACTAACCTAACGCCTAAAGCCTAACTGCGATTGCCAACCTGCCTGCCGAACGTGGCAATACTTCCCAATACGTAGAGACCTATGTTAAGCAGTGGACAGTAAAAAGCTGATATGATGATGAAGATTTCAACCGTCCACCAAACTGTACAACCATGCAAATAAACGTAGTTGCTTGACAATAGTAACAGAAGTGTGTACATATAAAAATCTCATTGCTTTTGGCTTAACTAAGTTTTGCTGTTGTAGTTGAATTAACAGCATATATGAGTAATAAATCTTTTTTCTTTTTTCTATACTTATGTAAAAAATAATGTTTACCAGAAGCGTATCGTGGTTCCAGAGTGCAGCCTTGTTGTAAAACTGCTCCTATGATTAATATCAGGACATCAGCCCACGAGCCGTCCAGTTGAAATTGGTTCTGAAATTATTATGCAAAATAAATAAGAGTAAAAACAATACTAGAATTCTCCAAGTCCAAGGAACGCCATGGGGGCATAACATTGCTTTGACTCCTCCAATTTCCAATTATGTTTTACAGATTTTATAGACATAAGTAATTAAGAGGTTAAAAGAGTTCTTTACGTGAAAATATAGCTTACCAGAGACATCGTGGCTTCCCATTTAGAAGTAATGTATAAAAACAGGGCACATCCCAAAACACAAACTAAAATGGCCAGCCAAACATCCATCGTGAAAGGTAGTGTGAAGATGTTGGAGACATTCGAGAGAGGAGGTTTCCGGAAGACAAACTTGACGCCTGTTGATCCCACCATGGCTATGTAGTCGATAACTTCCAAGCGATCTGCAGTAAGCAATGCCATAGTACCTATATGAGAAGAAAAATATTTTGATTAAAATATGTCGTAGAAAGAGAATGTCAGGAACGATCCTTAATTTAGGGATTAATAGCTTTTATCGGGACCGGGATTTGCTTTCTGACCAGGATATGAGTACCCTTTCCTTTCCATGTCGTATAGTACGTGTATACTAAATTTAATAGTGAAGTCGTTAAGGTACTATAATGTAACAAATAAATTCACTTTCACATTTGCATTATAGTAAAGTGTAAAAATGTAGTCCATGTTTTCGAATTTTGTAAATTTTTCATTTTGATAAATTTACTCGTAGTACTGTAATCTCTTGAGGAGATCCACAAAGAGTATCTATATGTCTATTGTTTTAGTTTACGTAAAATTCATGTTTATATATAAGAATACAAGAGATTCATGGGTGTCCAGGTATATTGTGTTTAAAATACAAGTTTTTTACATATGAGTCTTTAAAAAGACTCATTGCCTCGGGACCCCACGGGTTAACTCTAAACGCCGCAAATATATATCCATTTCCAAGGATGAATATTTATGGCGCTTGATAGCCTCCTGGTGTATGGTAGCGTCACGAACCCTCATGGATGTACTTGGAAGGTATGTCAGCGCCAGCGTATTGACGCAGGTGAAATCCCATACAAACGGACACCCCGTCCTCCAAGGTATCATTGACATTTCGTAAGGTCTCTTGCTGTCGCCACGTATCAAACCAAGAGGTTCCAGGATAGCAAGCACACCCGCCGTGACAAGTGTTGTGTGTATAGCAACTTCTTGGGGATAGTCATATAATTGAAAAAATAATAATAAACAGATTCTGTCAAGATGTGAAATTGTAAATTTTATTTATTTAATTATATCTATAAAAAATATTAATATGAACATAAGGACCCGACAGAGAATGTCATTGGTAGCTGAGTGGCGCAGCAAGCGCCCAGAGCTCTTAAGACAAGAGAGGCCATGGTGTCCCAAGGCATGAACGTTGTACCTACGCTTGCAGTGCTGGGAAGCATTCGTTTTGGTTCCTAATCTGAGCGGGATTGAGAGAAATATCGTCCAATAATGTTCCGATATTAGGCGAGGAAATTGTGTGTAACCGTAAGCCAGATTCTCATGTGGACACGTCCAGTAGGCGGGCGTACTCAGTGGTGTTCTGGGATGAGTCGAGTAGCAAATTTCTGCACAGTTCATTAATCGGCTCAGTCAATTGTCTTTGGTTTTTTGCGATTTCAGGGCAAAGGTACGTTAGGGGCAAGCCAGATAAAGTTTTTCTAGCCTCAGGCAGGTTATCTATCTCAAAATCACTGAAAAATGGTGTTAGTATATTTTTCATGAGATTGTGCGTACCATGCGTTAACGCCAAAAAACTGATAGAGAAATATTGGAGATTTGGGCAGTGCCTCATGCCTGATAGGAAAAGAAGCCTGACTCCATATACGGTCTTTGAAGGCGATATTAAAGGGGGAGCTCAAGATTGACTTTATTTTTTCATCAAATTTTGCGGTGAGTTCTGGATATTTTTAAAAGGGACTACGGTGTACTATGGAGAACATAAGTAAAGTTAGGTACAAGAAGATAGTAACGAATAATGTTATACGCGATGTAAGTGTTAATATTTAGGAGGCGGATGGAGCTTGAACAGACGTTATTAATTTTGTATTCCACAAAGTTTTGGAAATATAAAAAAAGGTAATCCCAGGAGGTGAAATGAACTTTTATTTAAAATTTTGATATTTGGGGTTAGGGTGTTAAATTTAAAAATTACTCCGTTTTTATTAGACATATTATCCGGGATGAAGGGACCACATTGAGAAAATTTTAGTTTATATTTAAATTCTTGTATTAGGACATGGAGGTCATCGAGTACAGTGTTTACACATCCTTCTAGAGTACCGTCGTCTAAATATCACACATTGGAGTTTGAATTTAGAAGCCGAATAATTGGGTTTATTCCTAGGCTAATGGCCGGTCCCAGAGGATCATCATATTGACAATTAACAGCCGAAGGTAAAGTATGATTCAAATACATTTTAGTAGGTTCGCTGTAACATTATCAGAGGAATTTATAAGCGTGGGGAATTTTTGTCTAAGCAGCTTGCAGTTACTGAGACGACAGACCCTCGCTGTTATAATCTAAGAACAAGGCAAATTCTTTAGTTGTAGTAAATATACAACTGTCATTGAGCAGGGAACTGATAATCAGCTAATAAGCATAAAATCGATGATGTCACGCCATGTTTTCATTTATCGACATGTTTATATATTTTTTTGTAAATATTATTTGATATATTTTGTGATGGTATAGAGCACAGATTATAGTCTCCACAGTGTTGATCATGTAAATTATGTATTTTACACTGAGTGGTAATTTGTCATGAGTTTTTTTTTTATCTTAAAATATACTGGTACAGAAATTTATGGGAATTAAAAATTGACAAGAGACAACAAAATTACCATAATAACTTAACAGCTAGACGTGCCGTATTTTTATAGGAGGTCTGATACTTTATCGCGTTTAGCTTTTCTTTCTCGTTTCTCGACTTACATATATTCCTTTGGCAAAGATATCCAGCTTCACTGGCAGAAGTCTAAATCTATACGATGCTAATGATATAGACTAAACAAATGTTTAAGGAAACGGAATTAAATAAATATATATTTGCCGTGTGGTCTTGACATAGAGTGGGCCATCCCTTTCTTTTTCGTATATGTTGTAAGAGACAACTGAAGGAACCTAATAGTCGAGGAATGGGGAGCAGCGTTCCTCTTAAAATATCACTAAAACCTAACTGCCAATCCGCCTGCCAAACGTGGCAACTATTGGCAAAACTTTTCTTTTGGGGGAGGCCTATGTTAAGTAATGAACAATTATCAGCTAATATAATATGGCAATATGTATTATACGTATATACTAGTTTTTATCTTGATATATCCTGGCCATATGGACGATGTCACTGGAAAAACCTAGTAGAGGAATAAAAAAGAATACCTAAATCTGCATCTTTTATCCGTAAAGATTCGACGAGTCCATTAAAGTTGCCATTTTTATCTTTATATCCCCAAGAGGAGGTATAAATAAGTCGTTCTGTAACGTTAAGCGCCTGAAAGCATATCTTCACAATAACGTATGATATTTTCGCTATCAAATCTTGATGAAGTAACCTAAAATATAAAATAAATGTAAGTAATCGTAACATAATAACGATGGTTAAAGATTAGATACCGTGAGATTGGCTCTTTTCTGTGTGTGGATCATTAACTTATTTGCTATAGCAAATGGTACCACAAATCTTTATAATAATACTTCATAATCATAAAAGGATAAAAAAAAATATAAATGCTAGTTTACTCAAAGAGATCTTTAAGGGAGAAAAAAAAATGTTATTCTATTTTTCTTAAACCGAATTCCAAAAGGTAATTTATCCATTCGTATATTTTTTTCCGGCTATGTTATTCGTTTACAACATTGATTATGAATCAATTTTTAAATTTTTTTACTAGGTTTACTCCATAATAATTTTCTCTCAAAGATCTTCCACAGCTATACATTTTATTCACAGAGCAAAAAAAAAAGTCTTGTTGCGGTACAAAACATTTTATAAGTAAACACATAATTGCGACTTCTAAATTAAAATCATAGAAGACGAGATGAAAGAAGATTTAAATAAGTCTATTGAAATAAAAATCACTTTGAATTTGGATTAAAAAAAAAATTCATGTCTATGAGACATCATTTTGATCATTAATGATCAGAGACCTCATAATAATCGAAGTAACCATTTTTTGTTGAGCAAAATAAGCAATGTACGGGTGGTTTCTGTGGAATAAAATTCTAAAAACAAATTTAACTTACAATCTATCGTCTAAATGTTCTCTCGTTTCATTACTGTCGGTGATCACATTACCCATTGTAAGCACATGCCCTCTCAAATCTTTTCGTCTGAAAGACAACGATGTGGATCCTCTGTAATCTTCTGTGATGCCATGCTTAGTGTCTACTATTCTTGTGTTTAACATGTTCCTTTCGTTATCTTCAGATATAGCGAAGTTAGTATTGTTACTGTGTGCTTTAAGATAATTATTATGTTTACTATTGATGGGACGCCATATAGCTCTCGTCGTGTAAATCAGTTCTGTATCTTTGGCTATCTTGTAAACTGTAACAAGAATAAGGAAATAAAATGTTTTTATATTATTTTTAAATATACTATCGGGGCTTAACGCGATAAAACATTTTTTGCAGACAAATAGTACCTACCTACATAACTGTTTTAAAAGTCTGCAATAAAGAAGCAGGTATGCAGATATTATGGTATTTACCTACAAAAAATATTTTTCATCCTGTTAAGTCCCAATAATATATTTAAAATATGTGCAAAACAACGCAAAATTTCAAAATTAACTATATTTTCTGTTAATTAAAAATTATAAATCTTTTACCGTCCATGCTGCTAGATTATGGAATTCTCTTCCCATATCTATCCGTGTGAGTCAATCCCTTAATATTTTTAAGAGTAGACTTAAAGTGCATCTTCTATCTCTATGAACATATATTTATTTATCTATATATGTAGGTATATTGTATGTATATGTGTATGTATGTGTATGTATATGCATAGATGTAGGTATATATTTATGTATATGTATATGTGTATTTGTACGATAAAATATAATGTAATTCATTTAATTTTGGCTGTTTAAAAATTGTACACTGCTGTATCCGCTGACATTGATGCTCCTTTCCACTTTGGATTTGCTGGAAGAAAACTCTATCAGAATTAAGCTCGCCTTTGTACTTTTGTTTACCTCCGTCATATTTTTATAACTAATGTGTACAATAAAGTATTAAATACAAAAAATACAAAATAAATAAGAATTAGTATGTTGTGTCGTATAATAACGCTAGTAGTATTTTAAAGTAATTAATCGAGCTATAAGAATTGTCGATGATCCCAGGCTTGCAAGCAGTATCGAACCCTTAAGTCTTAGGAGGCCTACGGCCACTTTCTATCATCGTACGGCTCGCCATCGACAGGGAGTTCACCCTCATATCTTTCAGCCTAAATGGTCGCGTACAACGCGGTTTCAGAGATATTTAATCCCACGAACACTCAGGTTATGGAATGAGCTCCCTGTCGAGGTTTTCCCAAGAGACTAGATTTAGGTAATTTATTATATATTCTAGGTGCCATCTCTAAGACACTTAGTGAATAATGTAGTTCTATGTGGTTTGTGGGAACTTTAAATATTATCTTTAAATTATTTATTTTTACATAATTACTTTTACGTTTACATCTTTTAATATACAAAACTGATTTTAATGTGGTTTTCATTAATATATAAAATTATTCAAGAGGAAGGTTTACAACTATAATTTAATATTGTTTTGTGTTAATTTTTTGAAATATGACAATAATTGTTTATTAAAAGTGTCGGAGAAATCAAATGCAAATCATATTTATTCAGATAGACTTGTTTACAAGCACTTTTAAATCAGATTTTTTTTTTATACAACTTAGAATGGCAAACAAGCTGACGGCCCACCTGATGGAAAGTGGTAACCGTCGCCTATAGACATGAGCAGTAACATGGACATAACAGAGTATACTGTTTCGCCCATGATACCCCCATGCGTTGCCATTCCTGAGTACTCAGGTGTTATTCCTCTGTACCCAGTAAATTCACGCCATATCCCACCCTTCAAACCGAAACACAGCCATGCAAACATAGCTGCTTCACGGTTGAAACACGTATGGGATAGAGGTACCAAAGCAATCTACGTCTACGTTAATCTACTGTAGGGTTTGGAAAGTTGTTAATTTGTTATCTATTGAGAAAACTCAGTGGGGTCACTGAGTTTTATTATCAACAGTGATTGCAAGAAAGACAGTGGAATCTATAAAATCAAGAGGTTAGTATAAAATCAAGTCGACTGAAAGCTTTCATCGAAAACGCTGTTTAATCCGTTTGGGATATAACGAAACAATGTATGGTGGGATCGTTTCTCTTTTATAGGTCTATAAAAAAATCCGCGATGGCGTTTGTCTATCCTTTAAGGATAATTTACTATACCCATTTAATTCATACTAGACGCAACAAACTGATGTAGAAAATGTAAGTATGTATGTCCTTACTATTCGTGCAAAGCCGGAGCAAATAATAATAGTGATATTGTGAATAAAATTGCTAAATAATGGTTTCTAATGTTGCCACTGTTAATTAATCAAAGACATGCGTTAATGTTGCCTACATATCGCATATAATCAATCACTTATATCTGTTAGACACGATCATTAAAAGCTGATTTTCCAAGAAACCAAGTACATTTTAATGATTCTATTAAAGGTTATTTCTTTATAAGGAATTTACTGAAATATTTAGACAATGTACTGTTTATGTATGTTTATTTTGCACTAGTTTTAATCCGCGAACTCGTTTGCATAGTTTGTATTAGAATAAAATTACTTCTTTTAATGTGTAAATACTTAAGTATCCGTGTTGTGGTGGTTGCCTGTTGATTTAAATATTTACATAGTTTTTAGAAATGAAAATTTCTTAAGGTATTTTAGGCTTTTTGGGGATGGGGAAAAAGGAACTGGACCATGGTCATATATATATATATATATATATACATATATATATACCATCCAACCACCCATTTAATGCCGAAACGAACATATGGACAAATAGACAGGCAGACAAAAATTATTGTTTTGACCTCTTTTGATAAATTTTATTTTTCTTAAAAATCTACCATTTACAAATACAACTGTCTACTACTAAATATAGGCCTCCTCCATAAGGAGGGTTACGGGTTGGCAACTGCAATTAGGTTGTTTTACGTCTTACGACACCCACAGGTAAGTAAGGGATGGCCTATTCTATGCCGGGACCGTACAGTAGCTTATAAGCATGTGGAACACAGATTTCAATTTCGCTTTAAAAACAATACACCCGTGTAGTTTATACTTGTTAAAATTCAGACATTGACAAGCCGTTTTCCTACATTTTCGTAATGGATTTACTATCATTTTCCTGAATACATAATGAACAATCCAATCTGAACCCACTTCACGCTTTGCGACTTGACGTGTTGATTAAACAATCACATCGTTGTGGATATAGATTATACTAAAAGACGACTTATTTTTATTTTTTTTTTTACCATATTCAGACTCAAAGAAATCAACTCTCTTGAGTGAAAACAATATTTGGGCATAAGGGCTCTCACTGGATAAACTAAATAAACCCAACTAGGCTTATGTCTAAAAAGTGTTTCTAGATTTTGTTACGATAAGGAAGAATCTCTATGGCTGCACCCCACATGTGCACTACGGTATATTTTTGGAAAACACTTTTTATATCCAGAGGAGATAAAAACATCGCTGCTAAAAACATGTAAAATTCCTATCACTGATAGCAGCGGCAGTCAGGCGCGATCTTACCCATTGCGAGGCTCCGGGCGGTGAGGTCTTTGCGAGGCCCTTTGTCCTTCGTGAAAAGTATGTGATACGAAACTAGGTCTGGTTGTTTGATTTAGGTATTTGTCATGTTTGACGAGAAATGTTAAAGTTATACAAATAAATAAAGCCTGAGTTTTAATATGGAGATTAATGGAAACTTTCCGCTGATTCAAGAAAAATATCTCTTATTTTACATTTTTTTTTTACAATTGATTATTTTATATTGTATTTATATTTGTATATTTTATTGTTGATAATTTTGTTCATTTGTGATTAAAATGCCTAAATCGGGAAGTTTTTGCAACTTGCCACTAGTCAAAATGTTACTCACTGGTTGTTTAAAATTTGCTTGGTTTATTATGAGAAGCCCCTGCAAGAGCGAGGCTCCGAGTGATTGCCCTGTTCGCCACCCTCTAAGGCCGCGAATTAAAAAAAATAGCAAGCACAATAGACCAGAGAGGTCGCAGTGTTATTGTTTTTTTTTTTGTACCTGTTAAAGCCCATTTCTTAGTAATAATAATATCAGTTTTTATTTTTGACTTTATCCGCGTAACCGGGATACGTTGTTTAACCGGGACAAAAAGTAGTCTATGTTTTTCTGGTACGTGTATGACAAATTTTATGAGGATTTCGTTAGCCATTAAAGCGTCAAGAAGTAATTAAAAATTAAACAAATTCATTTTACATATTTAATGTTGCTTAAAATGTATTTGTTTTAAAAAATATTTATTTTAAAGTACCTATTAATTACCAAGTACTTATTTTTTACTTAATAATTACTATGGATTTTTAAATTCAAAAGTAGAAATATATAAGAGAGAGAGAATATCATAATTACTCGTAAATTAAATTGATAATATTTTTATACTTGTTTTAATTCGCATAATTTGATAACTTAGCTAGATTCCAGAGACAGAAAAATATATATATATATTTAGTATTTATAATTCTATTCCAGTCAGCTCTCTATCTTTGAGGTAATTGACCTAGACGTAAAGGACGATTTGCAGATAAAACACCTATCCAGTACTGAGTATCGAATTAGTGCAATCCATCAATGCTAATGTTACAATTTATAAATAAATATTATACGAACAGTAAGGTGGCATATTTACTTCTTTGCAATTTGCATGTCATAATAACTTTATACTGTGGTTTAAAGATAAACTATACCTAAGTCTGGTAACCGGTTTATAAAAAAGACTTTTATAATTTGATTACAAGGAAGTATATTTTTTAATTAAATAGAAAAAAAAAACAGTTGAATTGATAACCTTCTATTTTTAAAAATTCTTAAAAATAGTATATTAGTTTTTTTTTTTTTAAACTCGTTTTTTTTTAAACTTGTGAGTAGCTAAAAGTATTATTTCCATTTTAATATTAATTTTATTACTATATTCGTCATAGACAAATAACTTACTAAAAATTGTTTAAAAAAAAGCACCAGTAAATTTATTGAATTTCTTGCTCATTTTTCTTAGTTAAATAGAATAATAAAATAAATGGCAGATCGAAGTGGAAACTAAGTTTATTTAAAATATATATCTATATAAAAAGTCAAGAAATAGGTTTCCAGATTGGTACATAATTATTCTATAATAATCCTATACAAGGTTATGTCCAATATAATATAGTTTCTATAACTTTTATGATTGCAAATATATAAATACCAGATACGTATATTTTGACAAAAAATCTCGTATTAATAATATTCACTAAGAAATATTAATGCTTACGTATTAGGTTATTAAGATAATGGGGCAATGTCCTTGCGTCGAATACCTACTTGCGAATAGGTATCTGATAGGTATACATGGATCGTCGATTTTAAATAGCAATTATGAATCTTGTTTTATTAATTATTGTTTGGAAGTCTGGAGGAAAACTTGTTCTGTTTTTACGTAGTTATTTTAAGTTTTATTAAATCATAAGACCTTTATTTTTTTACTTTGCAAAAAAATAAATTGTTTTAAGACTGTAGTAAGATCTTAATTTTATATTTTATTATATAAAAAACGATATATCAACACAAGAGCACAGATAATATAATATCAATTTCTATGAATTGCAAAAACTACAAAACTTTGTAATTAGGTGGCGAACGGTTTACACTAGCAGCGACCTAATTATTTGCCTATAGATGCGTCGTTTAGACATGAAACACGTAGCACAAAATGTGTGTAGACGGAATGGCAGTCGGTGATTGATGGTTACAATGGAAGGTTGTGGAATTTCTTCACCAGGTTACTAACAAGAATTAATAAAAAACATCCCTTCAGGATATTCTACTTTAAAAATTTTGTTTTATTTTACTGATCAATACGTTACCCTCAGTAAATAAGTATCCATCATCGTTTCTCTCAGCAATCACCACGTCACTATCCACCAATATTTCCAGATTGTTTAAAACCTCAAGATTCCTGTTAAAGTCATCAGGTGCCAACAGCAGCCAACGGTATGGTGATTTGAAATAGCCCTCCTCACTGGCCTGGTTGAATTAAATTGAAGAAAATTAGTAAATTTTATAGCGCTAGGCTCGTCATCTGACATGTTGAATTCTAATATGCTTGGAATTAAGTTGGAGGAGAAAGGGATTATTAGTTATGGGAATATCGGCCCTATTGCTAGTAATATACCCTACCAGGTTGACCTCCATGTGATTCCTCCTGTAAACCATCGTGGTTAATTTTAGATGAATTTATAAGTAGCTTATTTTCATCCTCTCGCGCGCGTCACAGTCACTCATGATTAAGGATCACGAAATGATATCAAAAGCTTTTCCGACAGCTTGACTAGCTTTATTAATCTAATTATACGTAAGTTAAAACGGTAGTAATTACATTAAAATATTTTCATTCTCACCTATAATCACCCTCCGCTGGTGCCCCGCCCGCGTAAACAGACAGCGCAGGCGGACTTACTAATTCATTTTCACCCATTGAAAAAAGCATTCAGGTTACGTTACGACGAGAGGGAGACTTTGTTCAAAAGTCGATTGCTTGGGTACCTCTGTCCCATTCGTGTTTCTACCGTGAAGCAGTTGCGTTTGCATGGCTGTGTTTCGGTTTGTAAGGGTGGGGAATGGCGTGAATTTACAGGGTACAGAGGAATAACATCTGAGCCCTCAGGAATGGCAACGCATGGGAGGTATCATGGGCGAAACAGTATACTCTGTTGTGTCTATGGTATTGCTCATGTCTATAGGCGACGGTTACCACTTTCCATCAGGTGGGCCGTCAGCTTGTTTGCAATTCTAAGTTGCATAAAAAAAATACGTGTACCACAATGGAAACAGTTGACATATGATTATATTTTTTTAATGCTACTAGGGTTTACCTACAACTTCATCCACGTAAGTGCGTGTACCATATATAGGTCAGTTGGCCTATTGACCAATTGGCACATTTGCTAAGCGGTTTTCACGAGAGACCACGTGTGAGGTAGATCTCATTCGTACATTGCTAGCATACCCTTTCCTCCTATATTCATAATATCATAGTAAGGATAAATACCCTCAACAAAAACCCTTCAGCATCAGGGCAATCCAAATCAGCGAACACAACGATATACTGTAGAAAGTACTCCGTCCTATTTCTCTGCAGTGAGGAAGCGACGCTGATGCTGTTCTCAACCATCGATCGAGCCATTGACATCATTTGATCTGCGAAATCGATTGATAATAAAAATCTGCAGTAAGTACATGGAAGATATATTTTTTGATATTTGTCAAGAATTTTCGAGGCAAAGATCGAAAAAATTTAATGTTTAATAGTTCGTTTTTGTTTTTTAGCATTTTTTTTTTGTGGCTTACTAGTCTTATTTGTCTAACACTGTTGAAATATTCAGTTCGATTTTGGTCGACGCTATAATTTATTTATTTATTTATTTATTTATATATTTATTTATATTTATATTTTTGTGAGTTTTACAGTTTTACCAATGCACTCACTTAAAATTAAAAAATCAAACATTATAATAATACAATATTGAAATAATAATAATAATAAAAATCTAATTATGTTATATAAAATAAATGTTAAAAATGCATTTCTGCGTAATTTGTTACCGCTCTGCGAAACTCTGTGGCAGTACAATGAAATAAGTCCAGATTGGAACTCGCTACTACCTCGATGAGAATCGAATATAATAATTGTAGAACGATGAATTTCATGTATAGTTCTCGAAATAATGTATATAGTAAAACGACGTTTGCCGAGTCAGCTAGTCTATGTATAATAAACATAATTGGTTGTTTGGTAATTTTTTAATGCAATTTATTAAGCTTATTAATAGTATAGATTAATATATATATTCTTTATTGCACTAAAATATACAGTAACAACAATAAGTTAATAATAATGTTAGCAAAGGCGAACTTATCTCTAAAAGAGATTTCTTCCAGTCAACCTAACGCAGTGGCATATGAAGTAGTGAGTTGGCAGTAGTAATGCAAGACGGAAATTAAAATAAATATTTACATAATAACTAAGTTTACACCAATTATATAATTATTACCATCGTATAAAATCTTTGTGTGGTCTTAGCATAGAAGGTGCCACCTCCTTTCCTATGGATATTGTAAGGCGATTAACTGAGCTTAAGGGTCGAAGGATGGATAGTAGCTTCTTAAAATACTACTAAAGCCTAACAGCCGGTTGACAAACCGCCTGCCAAAGGTGGTAACTACTAGCAAAACTCCTCTTATGGGAAAGACCTATGTTCAATAGTGGAGAGTTAACAGCTATATTTTATAGCATATTATATACTAGCAGTTTACAGTATGATAATAAAAATAGTATAAATAGACATTTATTATGTATACGTCTATAATTGATATGTTTATCTAGCCTTAAACTTACTTAAAGCGTCTATTCTTACTTAGACTTGCTTAACTATTCTATTTAATTATTATGAACATATTATTGGTGTCTCTATACTAATATTATAAGGAGGAAAGATTTGTATTTTTCTATGTTTGTAACGAATAAACACAAAAACTACTGGAATTATTTCAAAAATTCTTTTACCATTTTTTTTTGATGGGTGAAAATGGTATGGTAGCCCCGCCTGCGCTAACCGGATACGCTGGCGGAGCACCAGTGAAGGGTGATAGATGAGAATGAAAACAGGCCAGTAAGCCCATCATGATGAATTCATCAGGAATTAACCATGATAGTTTCCAGGGGGACCCGCGAAGAGGTAGACCTAGTTGGGTATATTGCTAGCAATGGGATTCTCAGTCTCCATTACTAACAATCCCTTTCCCCCCAATTCTTTCACTATTAGAACTCTTATACTATTTCTAAAGTCGCTAGTCTTATATAAATAAATAAAGAATGATAACTTACATCTGGTCCAGCATAGATTAGGTATTAACAAAGACGTGGGTCTGTCATCGAGTTTTAAAAACGATACCATCATGTTAACCACGTTATTGTTCAAACAATTCGTTAACCTAAAACATACAAATAAAATATAAACAACTGTTTTTATTTTAAACATATTTAATATTTCCGTTCATAAATCAACTCTAGCTAGTATCGAGATATAATGTAAAGAATTTTTAAAATCGTTTCCTTTTGTTTCACGTTGACATCATGAAAGTATACATTTTTTAATCGAAATATTAATTCGAGTGTGTGTACTTATCAGATATTTCAAGTACAGTCGTAAAGTTAAATCATTGATTTTGACACTAGCATATTTACCTATCTTCACCCGTGTGATTCCGGCATAGAATAGGCCAACCTTTCCTTTGCTGTATGTGTTGTAAGAGGCGACTTAAAGAATTAAATGGTAGATGGATGAGCATTAGTGTCTCTCTCAAAACATCTCTAAAACCCAAAATGCGGTTACCAACTCGCCTGCCCAGGGGGAAAAGGGATTGTTAGCAATGAAGTGTGACAGCCCCATTGCTAGCAGTATGCCCTATTAGGTCCACCTCCACGCGGTTCCCCCTAGAAACCATCGTGAACAATTCTTGTTGAATTCGTCACGTTGGGCTAACTGACCTACTTCATCCACATTTATGATCCATCACTAGTACCTAGTGTATACCGATAGCACAGGCGGGGTAACCATTCCATTATCACCTATTAAAAAAAAAAAACTCGCCTGCCCAGCGTGTTAACCACTGGTAAAATTCTCCTTATTCTCTTCCTTTATCTCTTCCGGGGAAGGCTTATGTTCAGCAGTGGACAGCGGCTGAAATGAATGAATGATCATATTTACCTTTTTTCAATCGACTTCAAAAAGAAGGTTCTTTAATCGGTTGTATTTTTTATGTTTGTTATCTCATAACCCGATTTGGAGAATTATTTTTTTTTTATATGAAAAGATATTTTTAATAAATAAATGGTTTATTTTCTCTTTACAAAGGGTAGTAGAAGTAACAATTTGAAGTATAATTAAGTGTGTGAGACCAATTTTGTGAGGTGCCTGCGGTAGGTTAAATAGTAATAATATACTTACAAATTGGTTTAATAGAAACTTAAAAAATAGCTTTTCTCACAATTGAAGTCGGTATCTTTTGTATAACACTATTTATTTATTTAATTCTTATTGCATTCCATAATGTGGTTGGTAGATAACATTTCAATTTCAATTATAGACCCTGTTGGGCACAGCGAGTTGAATATAAATTATAAAGATTGTAAATTGTACCTTATGCAACTGTATCTATCTTAAATAAAATTTATTATTATTGTTAAGTAGGAGAGAGGGGGGGGGGGAAGGATTGTTAGTAATGGAGACTGAGAATCCCATTGCTAGCAATATACCTAACCAGGTCGTCGGTAACTATCATGGTTAATTCCTGATGAATTCATCATGATGGGCTAACTGACCTGTTTTCATTGTCATCTATCACCCTTCACTGGTGCTCCGCCAGCGTATCCCGTTAGCGCAGGCGGAGTTATCATACCATTTTCACCCAACAAAAAAAAAGTAGGAGAGAGGAGGACAACACTTTTTTTCACTTCAGAAATAGTCTAAGAATCTGTTACTATATTATCCAGTCATTGAAATTGTATCACGATAGGTATGTATTTTCTGTATTATTATTATTCATTATTTAAGTATTGATGTGTATCTATTCATATTTTAATCGTTATTAGTATTATATAGTTATTTAATATATTCTGTAATTTATAATTTAATTGTTAAATACAAATAAATGGTTTTGAAAAATTACTAATACAATTTTGTAAGATATTTAATTTTGGCCTCAAGTGTATTGCCTCGTCGAGTTGATATATAAATTATGTTAAGTTAGGTAAGCAAGTGTAATGACATGTTTAGTGATGAACCTGCATTTTGTGGGGTAGGAACCGCCCATAAATATTTTTGTAACAGCTTACGCTTATTTCACAATTGCCTTTTATTATGTAAATTATAACTCTATGAAATTATAAAAAAAATAGCTTCTATTGTTAGAAGGTATTAAAAGTACTTTCTATTCATTTTTTTTTTCAATCGGTGGTAATGGAATGGTAACGTCGTCTGCGTTTACCGGTATACAGTGGCAGGGTACCAGTAAGGGATGATATGTGAGGATGAAAGCAGGTCAGTTGGCCCATCGTGACGAATTCAAAAAGATTTAAAAGAGGTGGTTACCAGGGAGACCGCGTGGTGGTCGACCTGATAGGGTATATCGCTATCAATGGGGTAGTCAGATCCTTATTACCAACAATCCCTTGCCCCCCACTTTTTAACTATTCATCACTCACTGGCGGCGAATGTTACACCAACTATTTTCTGTTTCAGTTACAATTTCCAACTAACTTTTTGGTGATACCAAACACCGATCATGTCAGCCTTTAACTGTCCACTGCTGAACATAAGCCTTTCTCTTGGCGAGTTTTGCCACGTTTGGCAGGCCGATTGGCAGCCGCATTTAGGCTTTAAGGATGTTTTAAGAGGGACTCTGCTGCCCACCTCTCGCCCTCACTTACTCGCCTTACGACACCCACGGAAAAGAGGTGGTTTATTCTATGCCGGGACCACACGGTCAAACACCGAAAACAAACAAAAATAATCTGTCTAAAGACTGTAAGACCTATATTGATCTAAATGTGGACAAGTAACATACGTTAACTGGCACAAAGGGATTATTAGTAATGGGGACTGCCGGCCCCGTTAGCACACCCTGTCAGATCGACTCCCATGCGGGCCTCCGTGGAAACCATTGTGGTAAATTTTTGAAGAATTCATCATGATGTGTCAATTGACCTATTATCATTCTCACCTATGATTATTTAATGGTGCCTCGTCAGTTTATACCGATAATGCAGACAGAATTACATTCCGTTATCTTATATATTAAATATACTAATATATTAAAATTTACAGGCTAAGGTAACAAAAGATATTAGAAAGCGGCTTATCAAAACCTATATCTGGATTATAGCTTTGTATGGATGTGAGACGTGGACATTAACTCAGAAGGAAATGGATAAACTTAGAGCCTTTGAAATGTGGTGCTGTTTGATGGAGAAGGATGGAGAAAATTAGCTGGAGGGATCGAATTAGCAATGAGGAGGTCCTGCTTAGGGTTAAGGAAAAAAGACAAATTATTAGAACTATTGAGGACAGAAGGGGAAAAATGTTGGGACACTTGATACGACACGACGATCTTATGAACATTATAATAGAAGATAAGATAGAAAGAAGGAGGGGAAGAGGGAGACCGAGACATAGTTACATCAGGCAGATCAAGGAAGGAGTTGGTGTCGTGTCGTATCAAGAGGTGAAGAGACTCGCTGAAAATCGTAGTGAGTGGCAAGAGTTCCACCGACAAGAGCGCAGCTCTTAAATAGGATACATACATACATACATATCTGTCACGCCTGTCTCCCATTAGGGTAAGCGGAAACAATGGAACGCCAAATGCTTCGATTCAAACAAACCTCTTAAATAGGATAGATAGATAGATTGAAATTATAACTAGTAAATGTTTGTACTGTCATTATTAAAAACACCAAATCCAGATTTTTCCAGTTGTTGTTGGCTTAACTTAAAATTGGCTATACGTTTTTTTTTTATACAACTTAGGATGGCAAACAAGCTAACGGCCCACCTGATGGAAAGTAGTAACTGTCGCCTATAGACATGAGCAGTACCATGGACATAACAGAGTATACTGTTTCGCCCATGATATCCCCCATGCGTTGCCAGTCCTGAGGACTCAGGTGTTACCAGGCCTGTCTTGCGGGAACATAGGCTAGTTTTTATTCAGGTCAGTGATCATATCCAGATTACAAAGGCGAAGTTGAAGGTAAGACTGGAAGAGAAGTCTTACAGAGTTAAGCTCGTCTGTAGTACAGGACTCGTATGTAGTGAGGACTCAGGTGTTATTCCTCTGTACCCAGTAAATTCACGCTATGTCCCTTCTTCACGCTACCCTTCAAACTGAAACACAGCCATGCAAACACAACTGCTTCACGGTTAAAACACGAATGGGACATAGGTACCCAAGCAATCGACTTTTGTACAAATTCTTCTTCTTAATACCTCATCTAAAAGTGGTATAATTAATTGGTTATCATACATCTGAATTACACGCATACGAAGTAGTGGGCAAAAAGCTAGTTTGTCCATAAAAAAGTTTCTGACTACTCCATTAGTCATTATAGTCGTGATTTTTTTATTTTATTTTATTTTAATTAACCCAAAGAAATCATCACAATGACGACGAAGCTGTCCATGACATAATTACGAAACCACGAGCATAATCGACGCTTTCGTTGACTCATCAGTTCCTCGAATTTAAGTGTAATATAATCATGTTGCCGTTTGCCCTGAAGGCTGAGGGTTTTTGTAATTCCTTACCTTATATGTAATGAATGAATTTTGTAAGAATTCATATCAACTGTTAACTGTCCAGTGCCGAACATAGGCCTTCCACTATTGGGGGCTTTGCCAGTAGTTGCTATGCTTGGCAAGTAGATTGGTAACTATTATATTTATTCTATTATTATTTTAAATATTATATATATATGTATTTTTTATTTTTTTTGTAACTCTTTCGCACCAGTATTATAAAAATATACAATGACAATTGAAAAATTCAAATCAAATATAAGTACTAATATAATACACGTAATACCTCTGGTGTTGCAGGTGTTCATAGGCTACGGTAATCACTTACCATCAAGTGGACCGTATGCTTGTTTGCCACCTCAGTGGTATAAAAATAATAATATAAGGCAGCAAACCTGCAATGTCTCTGGTGTTGCGTGTGATCATGGGCGGCGGTAGTCACTTACCATCAGGCGAGCTCTATGCTCATTTGCCCCCTGTGTTATAAAAAAAAACAAATTACCGATTAAAATATATACATAAAATTCCAAATGGCGGTTTTATCGCTAGAACAATCTCTTAAAGACAACCTTTAGTCAAAGGAGAACAGATAGTATTAACAAAATAATAAAAATATTTTTTAATTAATTACCTATAAAGAAGAGTGACTTACAAAAATAAAATAAAAGACAACATAACCTTCAAGAAAAGAGTATATTCCTTTTTAAAAGGCCGGCAGCACACCTGCAATGCCGCTGGTGTTGTGGGTGACCATGGGCGGCGGTAGTCACTTACCATCAGGTGAGCCGCATGCTCGTTTGCCCCCTGTGTTGTAAAAAAAAAAAAAGTTTGATTTTGTTTTTATTCCCGAAATTAGTCTGTGAAACAGTTTATATGGTTGTGATCCATAATTATGCCTAAAGCAGCCTTGAATGAATGTATGTCATGAACACAGCGTCTAATGACGTGTTCCTGGAAGCTGTAATTCGTATCTTCAATTATTAACACACTGGAAGCGGAGGGTTTTCTAAGAATATGAGCATATGAATGTGATTGAAAGGGACTCAATTGTAACGTATAAATAAACAGGCTTATATCAGCGACTTTGTCTGTGTGACCGAGATATTTTATGTACATTGAGCGGGATGAAAAGTAACCTGTGACCTCCATCTCAGACAGTAAGTTCATAGTGATTAGTCAAAAGTAGTAAAGTATTCTTGAAAACATTAAGTTTGAAAATGTTATTGGTGGTATAGATTTTGACTTACCATTGCCTTACGTTAGAATTTTTCCATTTTTTCCATTTTTTAATTATACTTAATCAGATTTTTTTTAAATAACCATAAATATGAATAATATTAAAAAAAATGTGTTCCAAAAAAAAACCACTTCAATTGTGGTAAAACCAGTCATTTTAATTTAAAAATAAAGCTACGGAACTGATTTAGGTAATTTTTTTACGGGATCAATCTTAAAATATAATTTTTAATATAAAAAAAAGAATTATCCATGTCGGTTTATAACTGACGGAGTTATGAGGTAACAAACATAAAAAATACAAACGAATTATGAACTTCCTTTTGAAGTCGGTCGATAAAGATAAAATATAGTCTTATAAAATGCCAATCCCATAATATGTGTGCTATACGAGTAGTATTCGTGCAAATGACCCCAATTTATCGACGGACAGATGTTTTCCTCAACGCACGAGTTGCGGCGTGCATGTAAATTATTTGACTTCTTGTATATTTACGTAATGTTATTATTAAACATAGTGCCTCCTAGCTATTTTTAGATCACTAGATACTTATGTTTTATTTTTATGGTTTGCTTATCTATATATTTTAGTTCTAATATTTTTTTTAAATTACCAAAATTGTTCACTTTATTGAAATTAACAATTAACTTATTATATAAATTCAGGGCTGTGATAATGGATGAAATAATATCATAATTACCTATGTTGCATATATGTACATGCACGTATATACACTACATATTTACATTTATTTATATCACGCTACACATACACCCACGCATACATTTAACCCTCTTTACAATTGGTGACCATGAATTTGTATTATTTAATCATTGCTGTCAATATCTGAACTTTAACAACATGAATTTTAATTATTTTATATATCAATTGACTTAACTTTATGGACACTCACTATTATATATGGTTCCTTTCATACATGTGCTTATATTACTTGCATACACCCACTCTAACTTGCCTACCTCGCTATGGAATCAAAATTTTTGTTTGTATAAGTAAAATAAAATAAAGCCGTTATTGGCTGTATTCATAAGAGACTTAGCATGTAAGTTATTTTTTAAGAGCTGTGGATTTTTGTATAAAATAAAATAAAAAAAATATATATATATATTCTAATTATTTTTTTTCTCATATAGGTACCATGCCATTCTTTACTATGGAACGCTTGGGCATTATCGATTACATAGCCATAGTGGGATTAACAGGTTTTTTTTTCATACAACTTAGAATGGCAAACAAGCGACGGCCCACCTGATGGAAAGTGGTAACCGTCGCCTATAGACATGAGCAGTACCATGGGCATAACAGAGTATACTGTTTCGCCCATGATATCCCCCATGCGTTGCCAGTCCTGAGGACTCAGGTGTTATCAGGCCTGTCTTTCGGGAACATAGGCTAGTTTTTATCCAGGTCAGTGAATCCAGATTACAAAGGCGAAGTTGAAGGTAAGACTGGAAGAGAAGTCTTACAGAGTTAAGCTCGTCTGTAGTACATTTTTATTTAATATAAATTATATGAATATATTTTTTTGTGTACAATAAAGTATAAATAAAGTTAACGTTAAATAGGACTAGAAACTCTATAAGAAGTTAGTATAAGAAGTATATAGAAGAAACCAAGTGTTTATGAATAATTATTGAATGAATGAATATTATTGGTCTAGCAAAGGGTAATAAATAAAAAATTAGTAGCAACATAAATGTAAATTATTCAGTAGGTAATTTTTGTTGTATGGTTTAACAGAGTAAATACCTTTGTTATTCAAGCATATCCAATTTTAAATAAACGGTTTGTAGAATAGATGTCATGGTTATTGTGATAATGTTTCAGATGAAGTAATATTTATTTATGATATATCAACTCCACAACACAACACCAGAGGGAGACTTTGTACATAAGTTGCTTGTTTGGGTACCTCTGTCCCATTCCTGTATCAACAGTGGAGCAGTTGTATTTTTTTTAATGGGTGATAATGAAATGGAACCCCGCCCGTGCTATCGGTATACGTTGGCGGGGCACCAGTGAGGAATGATAAGTGAGGATGAAAATAGGTCAGTTAGCCCATCGTGATGAATTCCACTAGAATTAACCACGATGGTTTTAGGGGGAACCACGTGGAGGTCGACCTGATAGGGTGTATTGCTAGCAGTGGGTCAGTTAGACCGCATTACTGACAATTCCTTTCCCCCCAAGCAGTTGTGTTTGCATGGCTGTGTTTCGTTTTAAAGGGTGGGATATGGCAGAAAATTTACAGGGTACAAAGGAATATTAGTCCTCAGGAATGGAAATGCATGGGATATCATGGGCGAAACAGTACACTCTGTTATGTCCATGGTACTGCTCATGTCTATAAGCGATGGTTACCACTTTTCATCAGGTGGGCCGTTAGCTTGTTCGCCATTCTAAGTTGCATAAAAAAACTGTTAATTTATAATTATTTTAGCTATGTAAGACTATGCCGTGTGGTTCCGGCATAGAATGGGCCTCCTCTCCCCTTCCCGTGGGTGTCGTAAGATGCGATTGAGAGATCTTAAAAGTCAAGGGATGGGCAGTAGCGGCCCTGTTCAAACATCACCAAGTCTTGCAGATGCCAACCCGTCTATCAAGAAATTAAATACTATAAAAAAATTGAATATTTACTCCAAATACTTTAGTCTTTAGTCTTTAAACGAGGCATCTTTATCATCGCTGTTCGGACCCTAGTGTTGGCAGTTCGACACTCAAACTGCTAAAATATATACATTTTTTTATACCATTGAGGTGGCAAACAAGTATACGACCCATCTGATGGTGAGCGGAAATTTTAGAAAATTTCAAATCTTGTAAATTGGCAGTTAGATTCTTTACATAACGAACAAAAACAGTAAGAAAGGAATTTTGAAAATTTAACCCCTAAATGGATAAAATTCTAAAAGTTACGCATACGAAATCTCGGCAAAAGCAAGTAATACCTCTAGCTAGAGGGACACAAACATCCACAAAAGTAATATGTTAAAGTTTAAACTATAGAAAAAGTTGGTACACACAGACAGACAAAATTACTAACAATGCATATAAAATACAATGTAATAAATAAAATTTAGCCGCCTATTATCCAATTGTATGGTATCACGATACAACAGTTAAAGAAACATTCCTTGCAGTTTATTTATGTGATTCTACAGTGTTATTAGGATTTGTAATAGGTTTTCGCTGTGTTTTATGGCCTATAAATATTACAATAAGCTGTCTAACATTATGATCGTCATTATTCAGCTTTATTTAGATTTTAACTTTTATCCACAACTTTGTACGAACGGATTTTTAAAGTAGCAGCTTGTCTACAACAAAATAAAATATATACCTACTATATTTAAGGTTAGACCTTTAGGAACGTAAATATGTAAACTGCAGTCAACTTGATGCAGTTGTTTTTATGTGACACTCGTATCGAAACAGACATACAGACGAAAATAAAAAAATAAAAATTCGACTTTTATTGCTCTTATTAAAAGACTTACCATACCATATCTGCTATTAAGTGTCAGCAACACGCGCGTTAATACCTCTGGTATTGCAGGCGTTCATAGGCTACGGTAACCGCTTACCATCAGGTGGGCCGTATGCTTGTTTGCCACCTTAGTGGTATAAAAAAACATGTATCACATCTCCATATTTAGAAATGATAGAATTTCATCGTGCCTCCGATCAAACTGTTTATAATTACTCCTCTCCATCCAAAGGTTGGCTGGAAGAGATCGCTCTTAGCGATAAGGTCGCCCATTGTTTTCTCATTGTGATTATTTCTTGTAATTGTTTATATTTATAATAAGTTTACTATTGTAATCTTTTGGAGGAAACAATAAAGAGTATCTATCCATCTATCTATCAATATGATGAGTCGTCTACCATCATTCACAAACGGATGTCACGCGTCACGGTCCACGTTTTACCGACCACCGTAACATTATGACTAATTGGATACTTGAATTAATAACATTAGTAACAGCGGTGGGAAACTAATACCATAGTAATGTAAATACTAATACTAATAGTCATGTTTCGATGCTTACATCATTCTCAATGTCGATGAACTTTGAACGGGCTACATGTTTTAAAACATGCAACATATTTGCATGTAGCGCACAGTTGTTTGCAGTTTACTTTGCTATGACCAATTTTCTGTTTGAAAACACAATTTTATGTTCATAGCAGTGCTTTTTGCTGTAATATGCTGACGGC